TGTGGTGCCCCAAACCGCACGCAGGGCTTGAGGTGAGGCCACACCAGTGCAGGGCAGAGCTGGACAATCCCCTCCCTTGATTCCAAAAGAGCTGAATGCCAGGGATGGGTGAATGATCACTACCCACACAAAGCCTGATGCAGCCTGATGGGTGTTTCAGAGTGCTGTGCCAGAATATACATATGTCAGAGATTAAGTGACCAGCTCTGGGGGAGTGGGACAGAAAGCACTTGTTGGGCTCAGTTTCAGGTCACACCAATGTTGTGTGTGAGCGTGCTCACCCCCCTGTAAGGCTGGAGCCTTTACAAAGGACAGGGAATGGGCAGAGTGCCTGCAAACAGAAAGGGACAGGCCTGTGGCTCTGCAGAGACAACACTCCTCCAGCTGTTTGTTTAGCTATAGTCAGAATGCATCCTATTTTGTGAACCTGCCAGCACACTGAAAAAAACCATTGGATTGAAACCCTTGCTCAGCAAATGCAGGACACAGTCTTTTTACTTTCTAAGACAATATTATTTTTATATGCAGTCTTCGCTAGACTCAGGAGTCTTGATGTGTTCTAACCCACTCTAAGTTCCTTGTCTACTTCATCCTGGTAAAGACTAAGAAAAGATTTGGGACTGGACTCTCAACAAAAGGACAATGACATTTCGTTAAACCTGAAGACTTCAGACATGCAACATTTTGCCTCTTCAAACATTTTTTTATTGCTAATGGAGCTCTGGATGATGAGGTCTTTGGCACACAGAGAATCAGTGCTTGAATTTATTTTATTTAATTTTTTTACCTATTTTATAGTCTCCATATCAGGATAATTTGTTTTAATACTCCCTAGTGAAATGAGGAGAAAACCCTCAGATTTCTAATCAGGTTAGGACTGTAGTAAACCATGGGCAAGAGTGATCCTACTCTGACAGTAGGACAGGCAGCACTAAAGATGTAATTTAAAGATAATGGAAGTCAAAGAATTGGAAGTCAAAGGACTTGTCTTCTCAGTTTTAATTGCAGCTGGCTGCTCTGCAGTATCCTTTGGAAGAATCTTACATGGGAGCAGCCCAGTAGCTATAAAAGACCATGCATCAAAGCCTCAGAGTAAACAATCTTTGCAATACCAGTGCAATGGAAAGCACAATGAGCACCTTTGTGCACCAGTGAAAGTCCTGTGGTGGTCATGCTTGCTTCCTGGGAGGTGAGATGGTTGAATTCAACCTAGATCAGCCTAAGAGAATTTACAGGAATACAACTGGTACTCAACAGTTCACACAAATGCTGCATGTTTCCCACACGCTGCCTGCCACAACTGCAGATTATTTCCTGTTTTTCATGAAACTTACTCATTCAATATTATAATTTTTGACTTCCAAGAGAAACTTGGAGACTGCTGCAGAGGCTTACCCAGGCCCAGCATTAGACTGGGGTCCAATACAGCTCTGACTTTCTCCTATCTGCTCCCTCTTCCCAATTCTAGTGCAGAAAAAGAAATGGCAAGATGCAGCTCGGGGTGTAACAGTCCACCCCATCCCACAAGGAACCTGACACTTTTCACACAATGAAGCTTTTCCATAGGCCAAAATGAGCTTTGAAAACTATAGAGATGAGTTTATAATGCAGTGATGACTCCTTCCATACAACCAAGAGAGCAAAACACACGCAGACACTTCACTGCACCAGGCCCTGGGGCATGCTTGCAGCTGTGAGATGCAACCAGAACACTTTAGAAAGCAAAGACATAACAAGGTAATAATTGTGAAAGGGGAAGAAACCTATCTGTACCACTCTTAAAATGAATTAAAGGCACTACAATAGTGTGCATATAACAGGATCTGACTCAGAAGGATCTGGTCTAGCTCTGTAAAAGCAAACCAGCTCCAAGGCAAACCCAAGCATGCAGTGACTCTGTCATGTTTTGTAGGGGTTATCACCCTGGTTTTGTTCTATATAGTGCAGGGTTGTAGCTCTGTCTGCCTGCATCTCTGTCAGATCAAGAAACAGGGACTCTCCAGAGAAGTGGCCTAGCTAGGGAGGGTGTTTAAATTGTCAGTCAAAACCAGAGATGTGTAACTAACCCAGGCCTCTCTGAAGGCATGGCCTCTAGGATAATTTAAGCATGTCTTGATAGCGTAGAACTACAGAGTGGAAAAATCTTCTGAGTGCAACCTGCTGTCAAATTGCATCTGAAGACATTTATACAGAAAAAAGATCAAAGACTCATGGCTCAGCAGCCATGAAGTGGATACACCAACCATCCCTGACTGGCTGGCCACAAGCATGAGAAGAATAGGCCAGTTTGTGACAGCTACCCCAGCACATTCAGTCCACATCTCCCTCACCCCTGAAGCAACTCTGCAAAGGGCCATCTGATAGCAACTGGGTTCCATCAGCACAATTCAGACAAAATGATCCCAGAAGGTACAAGAGGATATGTTGGGGGCTGTCATGTGCTAAAATGCTGACGTTTTAAAACAAAAGCTGGTTCATATTCAAAGAGGTGATGACCTCTTTGAGTAAGAGGAACAAGCATTTGACAGGTGGGAGAACTCTGCAGTGCTCCTGAAACTCTTTCCTGCTTCACATGAGGATATGCACAGGAGCCTTTGCTCCTCGAAAAACCTTAATACAGGTTTTGTACCAAGATTAAATTGCTGCTCAAAGGTCTGTGAGTGATCCTATAAAGAGCAGCATTAGAGACAGGCTGCCAGGGAGCCAGAGGCCTGATTCTGGGCCACAGCTGCATGCCTAGCAAGGGTCGTGAGTCTTGGCCTCTCCACAGAGGAGAACTTGTTGGAAACTCCACCCAGCATGGAACATGGAACATGGAACATGGTATATACCCAGTATAAGAACAGTGAGTTACTAAGGATATGTTCTCTGCCCACGGGATATCTTGCCAAAGAAGACAAGGCCATTTGCAGCAAAATATGGATAAATATGGATATAATATGGATTGTGGCCAAATTTGGAAATAATTATGTCTCCTTTGCAACAACATTCCACAACTGGGCAATTGGCCCAATGCCATTTCCATGGAAACCAATTGGAGGTTGCTATCAGTCATTCATTTGAATCCACTGAACTGCTGACCTACATCAGACCAAACAGACAGAAAAGATCCTGTGGCCTACATTATAAACAATTCGATAAATGCAGGGAAATCGAGACAAAAGAGTCTCCTTCAGAATATCAGCTTGGTGATCAGCCTGTGCTGGGAATCAAGGCTCCTTGCAAGAAGCACCAAACCCTATAAATTAAAAGATTTATTATGTGTATTACACTTTTTTTCAGCTCAGTAGTTAAAAACTGAAAACCGTGAGCCAAATTCACTGCTGATGCACATCCCTTGAGTTTATTAACTTTAGAGATGAGGTGACTGCAGCTCACTGCTCCCTTGAAGTGCCACAGGCTGCCCTTAGATTGCATGTTTGGTGCAAAGATGCAGAAAATGGTGAGGAGACAAGGCAAGGGCTCCTGCAGACCACATCAGTGACTCCAAGTAAGCTTGATGAGATTACATTTGCTTCCCAGAACCAAGAAGCTGACTCAGAGACAGCTTCCTTTTCCCACTGCTGAAACCCAGTTAGCCATGATTTAGAAAGAGGAGCCTAATGACCTTAAACAGATTGCTCAGGTACTTGGATTTACCTAATCTCATCTTTCCTAGCTCTTTTCATGGAAACAGAGCTGGTTCAGCTGCTCTCCAGAGATCTCTGACTGATCCTGGATATAGAAAGGGTGGAGGTTGGACTTTTCATCTCCTCATCTGCCCCACTTTCTGTGCTTGTCTTTGGCACTCTGCTGTTTCCCTCTCTGTTCTCCACACCCCTCTCTGCCTGCTCCTTCTCCCACTCAGCCTGTTCTTGATACAAATGTCAGGTGTTCACTCTCTCTTCTTTCTGCTTGTGAGACAACAATGGGATGACACAGAGACCAACAGATTCCTCCATCTGAAGGTCTCATCCTGACTGCTGGTGCAGCCAAAGGTTGTTGCATGCAGGACTCTGGCAGCTAGGGCTGACATTCTGTTAGCATTCAAACACATTTTATCTACTTGGAGCATGGCATTTCCTCTGATTCTGTCTTCTTGTTTATGACAACAGCCTTGTCAGGTAGTTTAGGGTCAGGTACAGCCAATCTCACACATTTCTTGTGTAAGAGCTTTCAAGGAAGAAATGCTCTTTTTTCTGAGATTTAGCCTTCTTCTGTGCCTACATCCCAGATGCTTTGCATCTCAATGAATGTAGATCAAGAAAGCAAACCTATTACAGAAAAATATGAGAGAGGATAAAATTGGAACATATGGCTCTGAAACAAGGCATCAGATATGAGCCTGAAAGACGAGAAGGATTTTGACAAATAAACAAGGCAACAGATATGAGTCTAAAAGACAATGAGAAGGATTTTGACAAATACCTATGAAAGAAAGCACTTTCCTTGCACAGCAGTTGCATTTGAGACATAAGTTGTCATTAACCCAGAAAAACCTCTGCCATTTCCATTTTTAAACCTGGAACTGAATGCTACTATGTGTTTAATGGACATTTTGTCATTCACTGTAGAAAAGAAAGGACATGACCTTTGCAAAAAAAAATCTCAAATTATTTTTATTGATAAGAATCACTGCCAGTCACACAACATTAGTTTATTAGGAAAACTTAATCAAAACTCTGAACCTGACACCGGAATTTCAGTGACTGTGTTGACACACAGAAGTGAAATGAACTTGTGTGGTTAAAACAGGATATTGCAGGTCTTCTTAATACTTGGGGGGAAAAAAAACAGTGGTAGAGGTAAGTTTCAGGTATCCTAAACCTCAAAAAGACCCAACCAAACAAAATATCCCCAAACCCCAAAATGTCTTAGAAATGAAAATGTCTTCAAATGGACGTTAATGGAGAATACAGGAATGTATACTACTACCCTGCACAGGTTGGTATGCAAGTGACTGCTGTCATAGTGCCTATTACACACATATTTATTACACACATAGAGTGAATAGTTTGTACCTTGGAATTTCCTATCAGCTGATCTTCAAGGGTGTTGGAGGCTCTTGACTCCGCCCTCACAGAAAGGAACTGACGCAGCAGGGAGGAGGATGACTTTGGAAATCAGCTCACCTTTGCCCAATAAATGAATGAGACCATTAAAACAGAGTAATTGTCTTTACCTCTTTTAAGCACTTTTCATCTTAAATGTAAAAAGCTCACAAGCCATACCTCTTAAAGGCAAGGGACTGTCAAGAAATGAATTGTTTTGATTTCTTTTCTTATGGGCTTTCTGCATTTAGACCCTGCACGAAAAAAACCCTTAAAACAAAAAACAAAAAGAATCAAACCAAAACAATTAGTTGCACTGGAATGTTTTGCTGCTGTGGGCATGAGAAATCTTGCTTTCCTGCTGACAGCTGAGGTACTCAATACCATCTTCTCAGAGAAGGAAGTATTGTCAGACCTGGGTTTGGTTACAGACTCTGCTGACAAGCCTCACTCATCACCATTAATACGTACATACACTAAAATACACTTTGCACACCTTGCTGATGAGTTATGTATGCAAGTATGTTGAGGCCAGGTGCACACGTAGCATTGCCACACTGAAGTCATTAACTTGTGCCACTTGGAGGATGTGGTCTAGGCCACAGCAGGTAAAATGGGGCTCTTTAAACATTCATGATCTGGTTAATCCACTGGGTAAGCCCTCATATGGCAAGAATGTGAGTCTTCATCTTCATTAGATGCTCCAAATCAGCTGCAAACATGGTCAAGACTCAGAAAGAACCTCTTTAAAAGAAACATACCAGCAAACCAAGCCAAACCAAAGAGCCAGTCCAAAACAAAACACACACAAACACACACACACACACACAAAAAAAAAAAAAAAAAAGCACCACCTCACAAACCCCCCCACCACAAAACTCTCAAGCCTCCTAACACTGTTGAGTGTCAACAATCGTATTCTTGCCCAAATAAGCCTGAGCCAAACCCCACAGAACCTACATTCAGATGTAAGAGACTTCTAAAATAACTGTTATTTCTGTTCTCTGTAACTACACTGTGTTCTTTGTAGTTAATACATTCAGGCCTGTTTAGGGACAACTCTGAAAATTTTAATGGCTTGTTAATCACAAGAGAATGAGCTGCTGACATAGCAATGCCTTCTCACTTTTGTATTAGGACTCCAGCAAAAATATCCAGGGAGACTTGTGAAAAGTTGTAACAAACTTGCACTGCATCAAACAGAATACTTACATGTTGCATCTGAAACATATGGAACAATGTTTTATATTTTATGCCATTGCAACTGGAACAGAATGGAAACAGTCCCTTGCTTGGGGAGCTGGGAAAAGCTAAAGCACCTTTACTGGATCCCCAAAACCAGAGAAACCAGTGCCTGGTCATTCTGTAAGCCCAGAGGTCAGTGCTAAAGGGAGTAGCAGTGATGCAGAAGAGGTGGGGAAGTTTGCAGACCCAGATGGGCTCTTCACAAGGGGTCTCTGATGTGGCTGGGTGGTGCCCTGGGGCCAAGAGAGGCACTCTTGGCTCCCTCAACTCTAACACAGATGAGAGCCCAGCGCTGCCCTGGGGAGGAGCCAGGCAGTGTGCACTGATTCGGGGTGGAGCTCAAAGCACCAACCACTCCCCAAAGAAACAAGTATCCACCGCTCATAAATCTGTTTTATCACCTTTCCATGCCAAAGGACAGTGGGGTTCAGCAACAGGCTGCTTTAGCAACAGTTCATTCTCTGCTCAGCTGCAGCTTTGTTTAACTCAGCTAGCAGTGACTGCAGAATTTTTCTTTTATTGACTGATGCCCATTTAGAAGCCAGCAGAAAGCACATATTATTCATTCAACTAGCTTTCATAATGCCCACCTCATGAAACCACAGCCACAAAAAACTTAAATATAAAGCTTTTGAGGCTGATTGGTGAATTCAGTCAGAAAAGACCTTTCTGCTTGATAATGCAGTTGTAGGGTTATTTCAGCTATAGGGGTCTAAAATAAATGCAGTTTTACTGAATTTAAAACATTTCAGATAAATGTGCCAATTCAGTTTCATGTCAGAATGAGAAAAAGTCAAAACACTCTGGGAAGGTGAATTGCAATGATTTCACAGAATATTAGAATCATAGAATATGCTGAGTTGGAAGGGACACATCAGGATGGTTGAGTTCCAGCTCCTGGCCCTGCACATGACATCCCAACAATCACACAATGTGCGTGAGAGTCTTGTTCAAATCTGTCTTGAACTCTGCCAGGCTTGGTGCTGTGACCACTTTCCTGGGGAGCTGTTCCAGTGCCCAACCATTCTCTGGGTGAAGAACCTTTTTCTAATATCCAACCTAAACCTCCCCCAATTCAGCTTCAGGCTGTTTCCTCAACTCCTATCACTGGTCATTAGCAGAGATTCATGCTTCCCCCACTGAGGATGTCAAAAACCCCACTGAGCTTTCCCCTCAGTCTCCTCTTCTCCAGGCTGGACAGACCAAGGGATCTCAGCCACACCTCACATCTCCCCCTCCAGACCCTTCACCATCCCTGTGGCCTCCCTTGGACACTCTCTAATACCTTAATGTCTTTTTTATATCATAGCACCCAAAGCTGCCCCCAGGACTCAAAGTGAGGCTGCCCCAGTGCAGAGCAGAGCAGGACAATCCCCTCCCTTGCCTGGCTGGGGATGCTGTCCCTGATGTCCCCCAGGACACAGGTCGCCCTCCTGGCTGCCAGGGCACTGCTGGCTCATGTTCAACTTGCCATGGACCAGGATCCCCAGGTCCCTTTCCATGGCACTGCTCTCCAGCCTCTCATTCCCCAGGCTGTACATCCAGGGCTGCCCCATCCCAGGTGCAGAATCTGGCATTTGCCCTTGTTAAACTTCATACGGTTGGTGACTGCCCAGCTTTCTAGTTCCTCAAGGTGTCTCTGCAGGGCATCTCTGGCCTTAAGGGAGTCAACAGTTCATCTCAATTTAGTGACAGCAGCAAACTTAGTATTCCTTTGAGTCCTGCACCCAAGGTGTTAAAATAGGTGTTGAAGAACACTTGGCCAAGAATGGAGCCAATAGCAGAAATGAAAGCATAAGGCATTAATGAAATTAAACTATTTGGTGTCTTAAAAGACCATTTAAAATTCATTCTATGGATAATATAAAATCTTTAAATGTCTGATTGGAATGTGAATTAAAAAAAAATAATAAGGAAAACCAAGGATTATAATTTCTCAGGACACTGACTAGTTTCTGATCAGCAGCATTGCCAGACACAGCAGAGAGGGAAGCACATTGCCTGAATTTTGGAGACTTATCTAGCCTTTGATTATAGCAAATTTCTTCCTCATTCAGTGGGGAAGCCAAAAAAGTTTGCACTGGCATGAGCCATGTTGCACTGTATGTAATTTTGAAATTAAAGAGAAAAAAAGAACTGCACTATCCACTACCAGCAGTACAAGATCTTTCAGAAGATTTTCTGCATCACACTACACAATATATGGTACAGCTTATATAAAACTAAAATTTACTAAATTAAAATTCAGGAGCCATGTTGTAGTCTTCAAAATGATAAATAAACCCTAAATTTCTTCTCTGTAAATACTACATACTCCATTTTTTGAGAACTATGAATGACTCAGTTTTATGAAGGACATGCATGCAGACCACAGCAGGTTCTTTCCGCAGTCCTCAATTCCCAAACCAGGAGGAGTGTCTGTGTCTCCCAGACCACACAGGTTTTGGGAGAACCTTTCTGAATCATTCTGACACACCAGAGTACCTTTTTCCATCTGAGACTTCTGGGAAGGCTGCGCCCTCTCCTGACAGTTCAGGACTCGGTAGCAGTGACTGATAAAGCCACTTTGCTGCAGTCAACAAGTCAAGGCTCAGCCTCAGACCTACCAAGACCAGACCAGCTCGACTTAAAATCTCTACTGCAGAAGGGATTCACATTGAGATGGATATATCAAAATTAAAAATTTTATTACCATGCTTTAGGAAAACAAATTGTTTGAAAGTATTTGCTTTAAAAACACCTCACCATTTATTCGAAAATGGATAGAACACTGTGCTAGAATCATCTCCAAATAAGATACAGTGTTTACAATCCATGCAATTCTGTAAAGGAAACTTTCATATGTTAAAAATACAACCTTGAAATTACTGTTGTAACCCATGAATTCCAGTTCACAGAGCTAATACATGATATGGCTAATGTGATTATAAAGAGTCAGTCTGTCTTCACAAGCAAATGTAATCTCCTTCAGCCAGCAAAGCTTATGCAGAAATGACTGAAGAAATCCCACACATCTTGTCAATCATTCACACTATGCCTAAGTGAATATTAACTTCATTTTTTTGTGTGACATGCTTACCTCCCATCTGATCTTGCATTCAAGTTAAGTGAATTTTATGGACTCACAACTGCAGATTGATTAACGCTTCTGGTCCTGGAAACTTCTGAATGCCACCAAGAAAGAGAAGGAAATTTTCACCACACCAGACTGGCAGGGACTATTTGGAGGAATTTTTTGCCTTTCTTTATAGCTTAGGATATGAGTCACTTCTTCAAAGCATCTGAAATTTTACTTAACAAATTTCCTTCTAATCTAGAACCTGATTCCTGATACCATTTATCTTCCTGGATTTTCTTCTGAGATGCATGATTGTTCTGCAGCTGTGGGCTTTTGCACAAGAAGGGCTTAACTATTTTGTTTTTCTTTAGGGTGCCAGTGTTGCAAAATGTGTAATATGTAAAATTTTCTAAAGAAAGGATGTTCTTTAATGTTTAGTCTTTATATACTTTCAAGCCAAATCAACAAGAAGGGAGATTTAAACAGAGAGCAGCTAACAAGCTCTGACATACAGGTGTTAGAAAAACAAATTACTTGTGGGTAGAATTGCCTTCTTAAGGTTTAGGGCTGGACTTGCTTCAATGATCTCAGACCCAGGGGGAGGTTAACCAGGCTTGGGAAGAAGGATGTACCACAGATAGTGGACACAAAGAATGCAGAATTTATGGGCCCCAAGGACATTTAGCAGAACTCCCAAGATAAGGCAGAAACCAATAAAGACAACTCGGTGACCATGCTGAATCAGCTCTGCCTGGGTAAAAGGTAATTCCAGCAGGGACAGATCACAACCACCAGCTGAGAGCCCACCTCAGAGCAAGAGAAAGCCTGGGCATGCAGACTAATCAGCATGAGAAGTGAGAGAGTCATTAAACAATAGAGGAGAGAATACCAATTAGAAAGAGAACTCTGTAACTTGTAGCTAATAAACACTAATTCCTTTGTTTGCTAAAATGTATAAATAGTAAAAAGTTTTTATAGTCGGTGTGCTTGATTTGTGGAATACCACAGAGGATCCAAGCTTGTGCAACTCCAAGATAAATGACCAAAGTCTCTCTTGAGTGCGTAATTAATGGCTTGTTGCACTGGGTAAAAAATCTGATTCTTTTGGACAACACTGGGACTTATGTTGCTGTCTGCAGAGTTTACAGGCAGCCCGTTTATTTCATGTATCATTGAAATAAATTGGTAAGGAAGATGTAAAAGAGAAGGTAATTATTCTTTTACCTTGTCCAATTGTATTATTCACAACAGGAAGATTAACAGTCATAGCCAATGACCACCAATTAAACACAGCTGGAATGGAAAATGAATCTTCACGAAGTAGCACCATACAGTAAGGGATGCTTCGGGCCCCTGGAACTTCATGGCTACTGCCAGGTATTGGGGGGAGGGGGGGAAGATCTCGTTTCTCTGTTGCTTTACAGCAAAGTATTTCACTGTTTTTTTACACGATCTTCTCTATACCCTTACGATTTGGAAATCACATTGTTGTACACAGGGTGAAGGTCGCTGAACGCTAAATTATCCTATTTCCTGTTCCCTCAGGCTTCTCCTCCTGTCCTGCCGGGTCAGCACAAGCTTCACTCTGCGCTTCTGACACTAAGCTGTAAAAAGAGAGCAGCCACCAGGAGGCGAAGTAATAGAGCCTCATTAATAGTCAAATAGACTCATTAATAGTCACCCATTATTATCTTCAGCTATTTTAACAGGATTCAGACCGTCACAGAAACGTTGCATTAACGATATAATTCCCCCCTGCTTCACTGAAACCTTCTATTGCTGATTAAATTACCAGATTAATTATAATTACCCTTAAATGCATTTGAGGTATTTTTATTCCACTAACCTATCTGAAACATGAAATGTTCTATGTTTTAAGCCTTTCTCATCCAAACTACTGCGTGTTTAAACATGGTGTGTATGTATCTAGAGCCTCTGGGGGAGCACAGGCTCTGGGGTCACCTTACTGCTCCTACAGATGGGGTCGGCCTCTCCTCCAGGCCACCAGTGACAGAACAAGAGGCCATAGTTGTAAGCAAGAGAAGGTTTAGGTTGGACACTGGGAGGAATTTCTTCACAGAAAAGGTGATTAAGCCTCGGAATGGGCTGCCCGGGAGGCGGTGGAGTCACGGTCCCTGGAGGCGGCTCTCGGTGCCGTGTCCGGCTGACACCGCGGTGCCGGGTCACAGGCTGGGCCCGGTGACCTCAGAGGCCTTTCCCAACTGAATTCATTCCGTGATTCCGTAACAAAGCTCTAATGTTACACTTCGCTCGCTATTTTATTAACGCAATTCGGGCCGCGATGTGACCGCTGTACGGAGCTCAGTTAACCACGGCCCCAGGACGAACTGCAGGCTTTGCACGCTACTTAAATGCTACTCTTTTAAACGTTATTCTTTACAATGTTAACACACGCTCGCTGGAGCTTGGAACCAGCTGACGTTTAGGGTCCCTTCCAGCCCCAAGCGGCTCTAGAGCCCTGAGTGCCGCCGGCACAGCACAGCAGGACACCCAGGAGCGCTGCACCCGCTCCCTCAGCGCTTTCTCCGCAGCGCTGCTTGCGGCGGGGCGCGGGCCGGGCCGGACGTGACGCGGGCGGGGGCGGCGGCGCGGTGCGTGCCGGGAGCGCGGTGGGCGGTGGCGGGCGGGAGGCGGCGGCCGGAGGGGGCCGGGCCGCAGCGACGCGGTTCCTGTCGCCCACAGGGGCTCCCCTCCATGGCGGTTGCCGCGGGAGGCCGCAGATAACCGGCCGCGGCCCCTCTCCCCTTCCTCCCTCCTTCCCTCCCCCTCCCCGCCCGCCGCCATGCCCGCCCGGGCCCCGCCGCCCCCCGCGCAGCCCGCAGGTAAGAGACGGCGGGGGGCGGCTCGTTCCCGCCGGGCCCGGCCGCGGAAGGGCGCCGGGGACCCCTGGGCGCTGCCCCCGGAGCGCGGCGGTGGCGGCCGGGGCCTGTCGGGGCAGCGCCGTCCTTGCCGTGGGCCCGCGAGGGAGGGTGGCGGGGCCCGGGCGGGGCAGGGCAGGGCAGGGGGAGCCCCGCGGCTCCCCGGGCTCGTCCCGCCGGAGCGGGGGGCTCGGCTTTGTCCTGCGGCGGGGCCCGCGGTTTCCTGGGGTTCAGCGGCGCCGCAGCTGGGAGAGGGCGCAAGGATGTGGTGCAAGAAGTTCAGCTGTCCTGTGTGTTTGGCTTTTCCTGACAAGCTTTCTCTTTCGAGGGGCGTAGAGCGTGTCTGTTGCTAAATGCATCTGGACATGACAGACTGAACAAAGTTACGATAATTTAAGTGTGGTATTTTTCTTTTTGTAGAAGAGGTAATTTCATTCTGAAATGAGGCGAAATTGCTCAAATGCTGTTAGGTCCTGACACTTCAGTTTGTTATGAGAAGTGTCTACTTGATGAACCAAAATAGAATTTTTTCTTTAGAGAAGACAGTGCCTTAAAAACAATGATTAAACCTTGGGATTCTTTCAAAGTGTCAGTAAATTGGCCTCTTAATAGTGACAGCCCTTCCTTCCATTTTCAGCACAGAAATGGAAACCGGCAGTTTAATGCTCCTTAAGCAAACATCTGTTCATAAATGACTGGAGTGAGTAGAGAAACATTGCTGACAGGAGCTGTGCTGGGTTAGTTTTACAAGTTTTGTTTCCATGCATGGTTTAGAGCCCAACATGCTTCATTAGAACTCATTTTTCAGCTGTTGAGCCCATGGTAAAGTGAGTTTGATGGATGCTGCTTTTTAGCTGGATTGGTCCTTGGAGGTTGAACAAAATTAAAAGTATTTCCTCCTTGTTTTATTCTCTGGACATATGAACTAGACTTGGAAAGGCAATTAGCCTACTTTAAAAATAAAAATGGTCTGTTGTATTGTCAGCACAGGCAGAGAGGGTTGCTCATGCAATGCACAGGTACCAGTTTCTCCTCCTGAAGTTGGAGCTGTACCTGGAGGAATGTGACATTAATTGTGGGAGCCTGGGGAAGAGTTGGAGTACCTGTGGCTACTGAGGGTTCGTTTTGTTTATTTTAAACAGTCATGTCAGTAAGATTAAATAGCATGAATGTGAGAATGAGACTTAAAAATATGTAGAAAAACTAATGGAGCTCTGGTGTTTTCATTCTGCACTGATAGTTGCATAAAGTACGCATTGTATGACCTTTTAAGGTCATGTGAAAGTATGACCTCTTGGTTTTATTTCCTTAATTTGTTTATAAGTAAGCAGTTGAAGGATCTCGGCCTCATTTGTTTTTTTTAATGTACTTTGTTTTTGCTCAGATTGTGTTTTTGTTTAGCAAAGGATTTAATAGACTATGAAATCTGGAGTTCACACAGTGAATCATACTTGTGTTACATATTGCTGGTGATGAGGGCTCTATGTGATCTCTACATTTCTGCTTTAAAACTCCACCAGTAGCTTACTAAGCTAACACAAGCCTTTTAACACCTTAATTACCCAAAGTAATATTCTGAAACTTTCAGTACTTTGAAAAGACTTGTCTTTCACAGTGGAAATAATAGAGCACCTTAGATGGACCTCAGTCAACTCTGCCTTTTCCTCTTGAAATATTCATTGAGCTGTCCTTGCAGAGCTGTGCTGGTATCAGTTGGAAATCCAGTGGTAAAGAAACTGATGCTCGATGGAGTTGTTTTCACTACACTCAGCAGCATAATTTTCTTGCAGATACCATTATCTATCTCGACAGAATGTTCATTCCTCTCTGTGCTATTGTGCTGTTTGACAACTTAAACTGCTTCTTTGTGAACATTTCAGTGCAATGACATGCTCACCCTTTCATGGGGATTCAAAATACTTACAATTTTTCTGGATAGTCAGAGAAGTGCCTTAGATCCTACTCATCCCTAGGTGTTAGAAATTTTGTCTGTTAGATTTTCTCCTTTGTGCAAAAAACCACACTGAGTAAGCTGCTGCTATTGCACACACACACACACAGGGAAAAAAGCCTTGAAATGCCTTGTTTGAAAACTGACATTCTCATTTTCTGTAGACTTTCTTTCATGCTAATGTTTTTGGCAATTAAAATTTTCAATTGCAAGGAATATTTCTGTATTGATGCCACTTGCAAGGTGATCTAAGAAATCTGCTGTAAAGCAAGTAATTTGAGTTTTTCAAATCAGAGTCCCGTGTTGGGAGAACCACAGGGAAGGGCAAATCCTCTCTTCACTTCAGTATGTTTGGAAGTAGGGTGAAGGAAACGTGACACCTCAAGTTCATATGTCTGTTGATAAGCAATGGAAAATAGATTTTATTCTTTGGAGTATTAGGTGTCCCTCTTGTATTGTGTTTTTAATATGAAGTAATGTCTGTAGGTGGGATAAATGGTGAATAAGTAAGCCTGCTCACTGGAAAACAAGCAATAAGTACATTTGCAGTAATGGGAAGCAGACCCATGGCTGTTTTCCTTGTGCAGCTGTATTTCCCCTGCCAAGCTGTGGGAGAAGCTGTCGCATAGTGTGCAGCCCTGGGCAGTTCTGATCCACTCTGTGCTGCAGCCTGTGTGAAGTTTGAAGGGTTTATATGTGATGGAGATCATACTGCTCTGTGAGGAAGTCTCTGAGAACACTTGACCCTAGGTAATCTAGTTCTAATACTTTCTAATCTAGCATCTTTTTATCCTAATTTAGAACACATTCCCAGCTAGTATGTTTGAGGGTAACAGCCAGAAATAGATTTCTCGCTGAGTTAAGCACTGTTTTTAAAGGAATTTAAGAAATCATAAGAATGAAAATATCTGAGTTATGTGTTACTTGTAACATCCATCTTTACACATTGTGTGGCTGTGTGCTGTATGTTGGACACAAATGCTGCATTCCACAGAGCCAGACTGTAACCTGATTGACTGTCCCAGCCACTTGTGTTTGCCCATATGAATTTAAGATGTGCTTGTTCTTACAACATTTTCCCCACTTTCTGTTTACAGATTTATGTACAGGCAGTGTCTTCATCTGCAGCTGTTAAAGTATATCAGTAGACTTTGAGTTGAAACATTTTTTTGCTTTTAGTAACTTTGAGGACAACCTGGTTTTTTAGGTTTGGGGAGTAATGCTGTTCTTGGTTTAAGAAGGAGTTTAATGAAACAACAGAACATTTAGATTCATATTTTCCAACAGCTCCTCTGATTCTACAGCTAAGCCAAAATGAAACAGGGAGAAGTGAAGCAGCACAACTACTGAAAATACATGTTTGCTTCTTTATATAGTTTACCAGCATTTAAAATGAAAGTGCTTATATCCAAGACCTGTTTAAATTTCTCATGTGTGCCACCTAACTTGGTCTTCCTGCATTGTCAATGATGAGAGGGAGGGCAGCACTGTCAAAGAGGTTTGAATATGGAATAGGCTGGATTGTCTAGGGGTGCCTGGTGTTTAATGCCGGCCTGGGGAGCACAGGAGAACAGGAAGAATGAGCTGCCTGAGATTAATGCCAGATTCTTGGTGAAGCTGTCCTGAGTTCTGTTACTTTAAGGTTAATTATACATACAACACTTCGTAATAGAAAGTGTCCAGCAAATTTAGTGTTTGAAACCACAGTAATGCATGGTGGAATTGATTAATTCCAAATGCTTAGTAGCAAGAAATAAGGCTTAGATATGTTTGCCTTACTGGAACTGGAAAATATTGTTTTCCTCAACTCATACATGGCCAAGAAAAGGTGCTTTGGAACTCCTTCTTTGGGTAATGGGCCTTCTGGCTGTAACAGCATTAAGTTCAAAATTGAAAACATTGATTTCTTGGAGGCTTTATGAAGTAAACATTTTCTTGCTGTATTTTGTTTGCTGGTAACTATTTCCAAAAATAAAAGTAAGCTTATTAAACCAATTTAAGAACATATTGACTTCAGCCTGGACAGACTCTCTCTAGAGTGGTTTTGGGTTGCGGAAATGCTGTTCTAACAGACAGGCTCTCCTCATCTACAACTACCATTCTAGGAATAGGTTCTCAGGTGCAGAAAGACTGGGAATCTCATTTGCATTGTTCATAAGCCAAAGAAAAGGCAAAGAGATAATGGAAGAGGATAGCTTTTCCTACTGGAAGCCAACACTGTGCTGTAATAAGAAGTCTAAATCTAGTCCTTACTGTGATATTTTTGGCATTTGCTAGAGGAATTCCCTTGCAGTAAGAGTTAAATGTTCTTGGAAAGATCAGATGCTAGCAGCTAATGACTTGAATCCATCTCCTTGCTATTGCAAGGCTTTTACTGTAAGGTGTTTCAGTAACATTGTAATTTCTGTCATGGAGATCTTGATTGTGCCATTTCTGATTATTGTGTTTCCTGTATGCTTTCAGGAGGTGGTTTGCTTAACTCAGCTTTTCTTCAGAATAATCCACAGCTGAGAGGTTATTCATTGCTTTGCTTCCTCTCAAGTTAAAGGAAACATTCTGCTTTACTAGGGGTTTCTTTTGAATTTCCATGCCTCAAGTGTTTCTTTAGAGATACTCTTTGAGACCTCCTGATTTTTTAGGTGTTATGTAAGAGCCAAACATGCTGTTTCAAGTCTTGACTTAGAATATACACAGAGAAGGAACTATTTATACCTGCTTTTGTGTAGTGTAATTGCATTGTTCTCTATGCTGCCTAGTCTTTGTTAAGCTGTTGCTATTACTCTACAAAAAGGTAGTGAACAAGGATGTGATCTGTGTGTGAGGAAAGCACATATTGTTCCCTATTTACTGCAAACAAATAAGCAGATAGCCTGGTTTTGTTGTAAATGTTTTGAAAACCTAGTTAGTGATCAGAATTAGAGGATTTGCATTTTCTCTTTCCAGTTCCTTGCCTATCAAAATTTTTCTAGCATTACTGATTTGTTTTCTCTTCTTTTAATGTTTCAAATTAACTTGAATTGCATTCTTAAATGCATGTGACTTGAGAAAAAAGATTTGAACCTTGAATCTTAATTAATTAATCAGCTTTTTTTTTCTTTAGAGTACAATGTCAATATGTTTTGTGAGTGTATTGGTGAATTGCATATATAGTATGATTTACACAGTGGTCTCCTGTTTGTGGTACTGAAATTTTTTGAGAAATCCCTTGATGTTGAACTTTAGAATTTGAATATAAAAAAGCACGTTGAACTAAGAACTAGCATTTCCAGTTCTTAGTTCAACAACTAAGCAACAAGCAAACAGGTAAAAGAAAGAAATACAGAAAATGGCATCTGAGAGAGAATACAATTCTTTATTTTTCCTAGAAAACCTTGCTACAACCACATGCCATGAGCAATTGATAGAAATCTGTCTTCAGTCTAATCTTAAACTGTTGAGATCTGCAGAAGTTACTGGCATTTGTCAGCATAAATCTGTGTTTGTGACTAAAGCAATCCACTAAACATGAACACTTTAACTGTGTCAGATTCCTCACCTCGGGGTGTAAGGTCTGATGCCAGAAACCTGGGTTGTTACTTATTACAAATCACAGAAGTTAGGCAAGTTATGCTCTGTTACACAAGTAAAGGCTGTTATAATTTCCTTCAAATCGCAATCCTTATTATATAGTGTACTGAAAAATTAGTGGTTTCTTTTAAGTAGTATATGTTTAAAGAATCTATAAGTGAACAGAGTTAACTTTATACTAGACTTTTAAATTTGGTCACCAATTGGCTCAAAAACAAGATGATGAATAATCCATATAATTGGTCATAGAACTTGTTCAAATTCTACTTTGGGTTAAATCACATTGTAAACATCACTCAAATACCAGGTTTACAAAATAATCTAGCAGAATGTCTTGATGAAGAATATGTCTGAGCTGGGTAAAAAGACTTCAAAAGATGAAGCCATAGTTCCAGCTGTATTTGAAATGCCAGACAAAGCAGGGATTAACTAAGTGAAATAAGGAACAAAGTAGTTGTTCTGTCAGACCTGTGGGTTTTCACCAAAGGTTTCAATGGACAATAACTAATTTGATTTCTAGTTGGCAGATAGAACACTTTTGGAAGTCACGAAAGAGGACCATAATGAAGTTCTTTCTGAAGAAAACTACATTAAGACTATAAAATACCCATGCTGTTTTATATTGTGAGGAGAATTGGGATTATGCCCAGTTTAAAAATTTATCACTGATTAGTCAGGAGGAGGGGGAATACTATTATGACTTTTTTCTTTTTCTTACAGTTTGAGTTCTGTCAACAACAATTAAATTGTTTGAGTTGTAACCTTACACTCATAAGCAGATTCATACATTTTGGAGCTCTCAGTGTTTGGCTTTTAAAATGCAGCAGTAGCATAACTGGAAATACCTGACATTTAAAAAATAATTATACAGAAACCCATACAGTTGGTTATGCAGTGGGTTCCTGTGGATTAAACACATAGTAGACTATCAAACCTGTGATCAAATTTTTAAATGTACAGTTAATGTTCCTTGCAGATCCTGTTTTGGCAACTGTTATTGAAATGTAGCTGGAGCATTGTGCTGCTGGACTGCTGCTTTGTAAATGGTCCCTGTGATGTTTTAAAAGTTCTTTGAAATGTAAAATTGAAGGAAGTTTCTTCTGCTCTATGTCAGAAGTTGCAGGAAAGAAAATTTTTAAATGGTCAGATGTCATCCTACATGTTCAATTGGGTTTTGGCTGTTTGCTTCAGCTCCTATGCAGTTATCTTTGTCCTGTGCTTATCCTTATTATTCTTGTTCCTTGTCTCCCCTTTTTAATGTTAACTGGAAAGAAAAGGAGTCTTGTGGGTAAATTCTCTGTGATTGTGATGCTTGCTCCTCTCACATTATTCAGTTTGTTTTCTGAAACTGCATATTTGGGTTATTTTAGATCATCCTTGCCTCCAAGGATGTTCTCAACTCTATTGGGATTTATTTTTGGCTGAGGTTAAAATAGTCATACAGTAAATGGTCAACCAAAAAATGGGTAGAGTTGTTATGATGGATAGTATATGAATTTTTCTTGGCATGTCTTGCCAAAATGAGATCCGCTAATGTAAAGTGGTGTAGTTATTAACACAGACCTGAATGTGATATTTCAAATTACTCTGGTGAAAACCAACCTCTAAATCTGAAAAGACTTAAAACACATGGTTTTTGATGAACCATACAGACAAATTTTTCTTTTAATGGGAAAGTTCAGAAGTTTAGAGTGAGTGAAGCTCTTCTCTCAAATACCTTGTTAAGCAGCTGGTGCTGAGTAAGCCTATGTGGGAGCTTGTTGACAACTTAGGCTTTATTCTAAACAAAATCCCTTTGCAGTTCTCTTCAGTTTGCATGTTATGTTACAAATTACTTCATGCTTTCATCTGATAAGCATGATGTACTTTTGTAACTGCAAACTACCCTTTCAAAAAGAAATTTTATGTTAGTCACCTCAAGGATCCCAGTTTCCTGGCAAATATCAAGTGCTTGGTATGTTGTGCTTGAGAAGAACTGCAGAGCTCCATTTGTTGCTTTTTTACCCTTTGTATGCTGCTCTTAAGGTGCTTTTACAAAGTTGTTTGCTAGAGGCACTAGATATAAGGGTCGTGTTTTATCTGTGTTGCATAACTAGTGTTGTAAAGTTTGCACTTATTCTGGTGGTTAGAAGTTCAAATATTTGCCAACATGTATAGGTTGTTTCCACTCTTTTTCTGTAGGCGAGGCTGAGTGTTATTACGGTTCATTCATGTCAAGTGTCATTTGAAATGGAGAGAGATTGGTGTGAGCTCTTCTTTGAAGGGTTTTAAGGTATGGACTAGTTCAGTGATGTGTACAACTGTGAATTTATACATACTAGTAGTTATTATTTCATTAATTGCACACAGCATTGAAAAAGTCAAGATCATTCTTTAGGAAAGAAAATTTTCCATCCATACCTGGCTTGTTCCTGCAATGGTTTGCAATGTTAAGACAGAGAAAGTCCTTCATCTGTTTCTATCTAGGCCATGGGAATACTTTCTTCTTGTTTCTTTTCCCCCTGTGGTTTAGTGATTTGTGGTTAAATATTTTATGAATAATCATGCTCAGCTCTCTTTTTGAGAATAAGTTTTGATGAAATGTGTTTGGCTCTAGGCTTTACTGGTGGCATGATGATGGCATTTCTCAGCTGGTTCCTAAGACAGAAGCAGGATGGTGGCAGCAGCAGTGGAGGCAGTGTGTTGGCTTGTGGGTAGGAAATCCAGAGAACAGGGCAACCAAACTGAAACCCATGGACTGGTAGAGAGCAGGGCAGCAGATCATAGCTAGTGGTTCTAACAGCAGCTCCTTCCTCCACTCCTTCACAATTTCAGAGCTTCTGGAAGCACTTTTTGAAGTCTTTGACAGTGATGGAGGTCCCTTAAGTGTATGGCTCTTGTGGCATTGCCCATGGAGTGACTTAATGCCTGTCACACACCTGAGCACACAAGGAGTGGCAGAACATGGACCAGGGTCACTGACACTTCTGTGAACTGCTGGTGATGGGAGGTAGAGAATTGATGGCTTAAAACTGAATTTAGTTGTGCCAGTGTGTGTTGCACAACAGCGCAAGGTGTTAATTTCAGCACTGTCTGCTGACAATTTGATCATGTAATAGTTTAGAAGAGACTTGAACTGTCCCAATAGATTCTTTGTGATCTGTAAAACACATGGGTTTGGGGAGTGTTTCTTTCTGATATCTAATACAGATATTGACCTATATACACACTTTAAAAATGAGGCATGAAACTGTAAAAATGAAATATGTAAGAAGATGAAAGCTAGCCAAGTTCTAACATAGCTCTGTTTTTCCCTCATACAGAAATATATTAATGTTGAAGCAGAACTGAACAATGGAACCAGACATTATTCGAATGTACTCCTCATCCCCTCCACCACTTGACAATGGAGCTGATGATGATGATGAAGATGAGTTTGGAGGATTTTCTGGTGTGAGCACTGCTGATGTAGCTTTTGCTGATTTTGATACAGCGGACTACAGTCATCCAAAGGAAGAGTTTATACCCACAAATCATTTCATCCCACTCCATGATTATTCTGACAATGTAGCTAGCATTGCAACTTTCACATCTGTTAAAAATGGTAAAGATAAAGACTGCATTGCAGAGCTTCCTACTCATACTAAGGAGCTTTCTGATATGTCAGCTACTAGTACTATCAAAGAAAAATCTAAATTTAGAACTTCAGGTACCGCTTTAGAAGATGTAAACAGAAGGGGGGAACAAAGAGACAACACTGGAAAATCAGAGGGTTTTTCTTCTCGTGTGGTTAGAACTGGTGTAACAGTTGAGAGGCAGGATGAGCAAATAGATACTTGTAATGGTGAGAAACTTCCGTGTCTAGAGATTCTAACAAATGGATTTGCAGCATCAGACCCTGTAAATCCTCAGGGAACAGAAGATCTAGACAGTATTGGTGACTCAAAGGGACTGAAAACTGTTAGCACCCATAGTACTGAGCAAAATTTGAACTCAATGCCTAGCTCAGGTGCAGATGTTGCAGATTTTGCTACCTTCTCAAACAAAACCCCAATCCATTTAGAGGGAACAGAGCCTACAATATGCAGTGTTCTTAATGAAAGAGACTCAGTGAGCATTCAGGAGAATAACAGAATAAACAGAGTAACTCATAGTGAAGAAGAGCTTTGCATTTCAGAAATTAGTTGTGAACAGGGTCCCTCAGCACTGGAATTTGCAATTTCTAGTACGTCTCAAACAACTGGAAGTTCAATATGCACTACAGAGAATGGAGAGCACAGTGGGAGGAGAAGACAACATCACATAGAGAATGGCAAAGATTTTAGTAGGTCTGAGGATTCTTCAAAAGCAGCAGACATCAAGGCTGATAAGATCCAAAGCCTCAGCTGTGATCCTGCGGGAGACAAACTGGGTGGTGATGAAGATCTCAAGAATGGTGGAAGTAGCACTGAAGTTTTAGTTTGCAGTGACAAACATGATGATGTGTTTGGTGACTTTGGTTCAGTCAGCAGTGTGTCTCCCACCTTCAGGAATGCTGAAGACTCAATAAACGCTCTTGATTCAGAAAGAACTTCTGAGCAGCCCGCACACATTAGCGAACCTAATGAGGAATTTGGTGAATTCAGGGACACGAGTACTGTTTGTCAGCAGCCAGCAAGTTTGGACCAAGCTGAACTAAATCAGGCTGCTGACACTTTAGAATGTGATACTACCAGTAAAACTTCTGGGGTAGACTTCCAGCATACTACTGAGGTAGAAAATGGTGACGATACTGAATTTGGAGACTTTGATTCAGTGCCAAAACCTCAAGATGAGAGTGTTGCTTTCCAGGACTCGGATGACTTTGCGGACTTCAGTTCAGCAGGCTGTAACCAGGCTACAGACTGGAATGCTTTTGAAGATGAACAAAAAGACAGCTGTTCTTGGGCTGCCTTTGGAGATGAGCAGGCTGGTGAATCTCATCACAGAAAAGAGACGTGGCAGTCACATAGGACAGATGTGTCTGCCAGGAGCGATGGCCCAGTGTTACACAAGACTGACAGTGTTGCTCTAGCATCTTTCCAAGGGACTATCAGTAAGCAAGAGCTATCACCTTCAGTTCAGGTAAGAGTTTGCTTTGTTTTCCTCAGTCTTGTTCTGCTCTTATGCATACAGTACTTCCTGGTTCCTGCTTCTGCGTACAACAAATATTTGAATAGTCCTTGTTTGCCTTTCAGGAGAGATTTAATGTGCTCTGTGAGACGGGCTGGTATGAAACATTATGCTGTGTTTGGATCGTGCAGATCTTTGCAGCACTGTTACTTCCCAAAGACAAATGAGCAGGGTGTGCTGGAACTTAGAGGAATGTGTTTTGATGATTACATGTGATCATTTACATAAATTGATCAAAGGAATAAGCCAACATGAACATTTCAGAGCCTGTGATAGTTTTTCCTTTTGCTTCATTGTTTACTGCCTTTTGGGGATGCACTCTTGTTGCCTTTTTGTAAAATAGTGGTGTGACCGGAAGCTGGGATTACTGGTTCCCGAAATTTTCCATCACCATTCTCTATCAATGTTTTCAAAACCTGATTAAAAATGATTATTTGATTTGTAAATAGATGCACTAATTCACTTAGAGCAGACAGCATGATAAAACACAAGCTGTGGAATTCTGTCTTGGGTATTCAAACTCCTGGGAACTTAACTCTTTAAAAGTTCTTTAAAAATAAGTCTCTGTTAGGTATTAATTGTGGGAAGCTGCACATTATCACAGAGGACTGGTGATTTGTTAAAGCTGCTGCTATTTATAATTAGAAGCTTCCAGGAGAGGGAAGTAAATAGGTTTATTTCTTACTACCTCTCCTATGTTTTCTGCTTTCATTGCTAAATATTCATTCATTTGTAATTAGTTACTTCCTAAGCCTTTTTAACAGTCATTTTGAGATCTGTGGCTATTCATACAAAGACTTTTTTTGTTAAGCATTTAATAATACTTTTACAAAATTCAGAACAAGAATTTCAGTTTAGAATTTTCTTCAAAGCTTCTTTTTATTCATGACATTCCATGTGAGTAGTTTAGAGTATGTCCTGCCTTTTTGAAGAGTGCAGCAGGACCAGTAGTAAAGGATGTTAGTGGTAATATGTGTCTGCAAGGTTTGGATCTTCTCTGGCAATAAAAGGAAATGAGGTAAGTCCTTTCTTTCAGGACCTTGCTCGGTGACAGCCCTGCCTCTTCCCATTTCCTACCAGTGACAGGTGAAATGGCTTTTCAGAAGGTTGTGCCAGCTGGAGCTCTGCCAGCATCAGCAAATGGAATGGAGCTTTTGGGACTTAGCACTGATTTCTTGTCACATTAAAAGCTGTGAGCCTCAGGTCCTTGCTCTTCCTGCTTGCTGTTCCGTGCAATGACTAGCACTCCAAACCTCAAAGAGATTTCACAAGCAAAAAAAAAAGGCTCCTGAGTAAACCTGCAGGCAGATTTTTGTGTCTGTATAAGACCTTGCTTATCACCTGAATGTGTTGGTCCATTTCTTAAGTTGAAAGCACAAATCTATTGTTACCTATTCACCCATAAAATTGGAGAATACTAAGATTATTGCAATTAATCTCAATTGTTTCTCTTGCCACTTAAAAGACTGTCCAGAATCTGAGAAAGAAATGGGGTGGGGAGATGATTCTAGAAAATCATCCCTTTTTTCTCGTCATTAATAATAAGGGATAGCCTGAAGGTTTCGAATATTTATTTTCACTTAAAGTTTTCTCTAATTGTATTATAGGTTTTCAATAGAAAACACTTCTGAATGTAGATTTTTATAAAAACAGAACCATCAGAAGCTCTGTAATTAAGTTTTCCCTCCCCAAGCCTGCCTTAACAAAAGATAAAAGTCAAGTAAATTGGAAGTTCCTTACTTAAAGTCTACCATGAAGTCTAATTGTAAAGCAAATTTTAAGACTTTAAGTTTTTTCGTTCCTTTTCTTTATGCTACAGTCTGTTGTGACTGTTTGGATCTAAAGTGATGTTCTCCTTCCTCTGCCAGTGAGGAAGTACAGCTGAGAGAATGTTTTACACAAATAAACTGGAGAGGAAGTTGAGCTGGACATGTTTTCTCTGTTGCAATAGTTTCCTTAGCCTTGCAATGTCAATTGCTACATTTTTTTTCAGTTAACTCTTAAAAGCAGTAGTTATTTTGTAAGTGCTTGAAGTTTCGGAGGGATCTACTAAAACTTTTTTATGTTAAAAAATCCTTGTTTTAAAATTAAATAGTAATTCTGTTTATAATCCATTGAGCCACAGTTTGCTAAATTGCTGTTAGAGACAGAGGTTAAGTAATGAGTCAGCATGAGCCAGCAGACAGCCCTGGTACTCTGAGTGCAGAATCTTAGTAAAATCAAACTCAGATTTTGATCAGCATCCTTGCTGTCTTTTAAGAGGTTGTCACTGAAGTCAAAACACAAAGTATGGCATTTTAAAGTAGTTGCCAATCTTCTGTTTTGCAGGTATTAAACTTGGTTCTGCAGCTGTTTGATGCTAGAGCAGAAATACTGGCAGGCAAGATAAATCTGGTGAGAGGGAAGAGAACAAAGTTTTTTATTACCCAGCCTAAGGAATGATAGGGAGGAGGGGATTACTTGCATCAATGTATTGCTGGCAGATCTAAAAAGGATTTGCTGTAGCAACCCAAAGGGAGCAGGCTGTGTACAAATAGTGCATGTGTTTGACACTTGAGATAGATGGGAAAATTGAGATCTCAGCTTAGGCTAAAGGTGAGCTGGGATCGTTTACAAGATACTGAATACACTTGATCAGTGATGGTGAGGCTGGGAGAGTCACTGTAATGTAGTGATGAAAGAATCCTGAATGGTTTATAAACAGAATGATCCTAATGGAATTCTTTGCAAAAGCAGAAAATTGAAAAGGATACTTAGCCAGCAGCACTGCTGTTTAAATGTGGAAATAATGTATATAGCAATTTTCATCCATCAGAATGCAGCATGAAAGTAAAGTTATTTATCAGTAGCTCAAGTTTCCATTGAAAAAGTCTCTGTGTTATTTCCTTTGTTTCTTAGTTTGTAGATTCTGAGTGTGGAGATGGCAGTAAAATATTGTGCTTTCTGAATGCAGTCTTGATTGCATGATGTATGTATGATGGGCAAACTGTTTAAAGACTGTGGATTTGGTATAATCTTTAATTAAAAATAGGCTTTGCTTCAATTCAACTACTTAATCCAGTTTTTATTAGAAAATATACAATATAAAGGATGAAACTAAGAGGTGGGAAGTTCACAAAAATTACCTTATATAGTCACATGTAGTGGCAAAAAGATCATGGTCTTTTCTTCCTTGCCTTTGGTCTCAGGCTCTCTGAACTCTGCCCACAATTTGCAGTGCAGGATTTGTAACATGCTGACCTGTTCTGTTCAGTAGTTCTGTGTGGAGGGGAGAGGAGGAAGGGCATGGTGTGCACACAGCCTACCATCTGAACCCGTATTAATGCTACATATACCTTAATCCATTTAGTTTGTCTGCAGCTGAAAAGATCTAATGCTTGGTATCAGTATGGCTGCACTTTGCATTTGAGATGTGCCTTTGTGTTCAGTAACAGATTTAGGATGTAGTTGTGGGTGAAATGGTTGATCCAACGAGTCTTGAGCAAATCTGCACAAGCATTAGTCCTTTCTATGAAATCTCATTGCACACTACCAAGTTTTGTTTGTGATGAATATAAGGCTTGTAGTGCAGCTTTTTCCATGAGATAATGCTGAACATTAGTCAGCTGAGGGGGTTACTCTGCTGCATTAAGAATATACATGTGTATATATATATATATAGGATTCAGCAGTGAGGCACAAGAGCAGTAATAATCCATGGTAATCGTGTGGGTGGGGAATATGGCTGTGCCTGCCTGTGTGCAAGGAGCATGGGCATCTCCAGAGCAATAGGAGCTAAAGAAGGGCTTGGCTGGAAGGCCAGATCTTACCTGAGACTTAATAAATCCTGGCGAGGGATGAAGGAAAAGGTGAACAGTCGTCCAAGTGGGTTTTGAGGTTCTCCACTTATTAGAGAGCCTGTGCACGCTCTGCCTCTTCAGATTAATCAGTGTGGGCGAGGCACAGTTACTGAGCCATGAATAGGCACCCAGACAAAGAAAACCCTGGATCGCTGTCATTTGGAGTGTACTCTGTCTTGGACAATGAGCATCCTTTTGGAGAAAAGTAATTATAACCATAAAGACTTCAGCCCCTCAGTTCAGTAAGGTAAATTAAAATAGTACTGGCTACTTACATAAATATACCCTTCTGGAATGGTTTGGGGGTTTTAAGGCCACAACACAGTTCTGAAGTATTTGCAGCTGTATAACAGTAAAAATCATACTATTAAAAGTAGCCAGTAATTGCTGGTTTTCAGAACACACTGGCTGAAGGGGGAATCTTGCAAAAGAAAATCGTTTGAGAGGGGGTTGTTTTAGCATTACTATTTATGGACAAAATTATTTTCCATTTTGTACACGTAAGTGTCATCTGCTGTATGTCCTCTCGGAGTCTGACTGAAAAGTTAGTATAACACCAGTAGATATCAACAACGTGACAAACTAGAATGGTCAGTGAGTTTTATGTAGTCACAATAAATAACTGTTAAACTGGACTTTGCTTGCATGGAAGATGCAATATTTGATGCATTCTTCAGCTGAGGGAGAATAAATGGTGAAGCTTCCAGCATGAAGGATAGAGACAGCTTCATATTTCTAGCCTGAACTTCCCTGCAGTTTCTAACTCTCTCAGATCAAGCAGTAAAAAGAGCAAAGAAGTCTTAACCTTTTTTTTTCCCCTTAAGCCACTACATTTTCAGATTTGCTTTGCAGCTGAACTCAAAACTTTTATAGTTACTCTTTTAAAATGGGTTTGGGATGTTTAGGACTAACGTTGCCTTCTTTACTTCTTTAAATTATTGGTAAAAAAAAAAATCTGATTCCTCATTTTATGTTGATGAAGTTTTTTTAGCTCTTGTAGCATCCTCTTTCTGATTTGCAAATCTCAGTTTAGGATGAGTGTTTCCATTATAAATTTCCCATGTAAATAAAAACACCCATTTCAATTCAGTTTTTTACATTTAAGAAATATATGGCACTACGTTATATTAATCTGCTTTTAAAGTGGGGATGGAGACAAGCCATCACATTTGAAACATGAGAAGTTAAACTAGTTTTCCTTGTAAGCTTTGCTTGTCTTCTTTACTCAGGAGTTTTTCTGCCTGCAGCTGTTCTCCCGTTGCTTTTGAGGAGGTGTTGCCTGTGCTTCAGACAAAGAAACAAATTGTTGCTATGTGAAAAGGAAATGGATTCATAGTTTAAACAGTCCATAAGCTGTTTCAAAGAAAAAACTGTCCCCATTCAATTGAGAACTTAGGGATTTGTTCGTTTGCTTGTGGGGTTTTAGTTGACCATTTAGCTTTAATGCTTGAGTCCAGAAAATTTTGAGGAAGTCGATTGGTGTGTTCCCCATGGTGAGTTACATCCATTGAAACTGGTTCTTCGCTCCCTTGTGTTGTCTATATGGTCATCAAGTTTAGCTCTTAAAAAATCCCCAAACCCACCCCCACAAAATACTCCAAGAACATCAATAAAGCTGTTCAAACAAAAACCTCAAATACACCCATCCCATGCACACACATGGTGAAAGTAGAAGAGTAAATGGCTACTTAGCTTTTTACAGGCAAACATGTTGCTGGAAAATGTGGTTTGGTTGTTAAAAAACCCAGCAAAGGGAGCTTCTCATTTAACCTTTATTTTATTAAAATAGTCATAAAAAGCTGTGCTAGGCACTCTGCAGAACAGTGAATTCATGATTTCAGTTAAATAAAATCTCAGTGGTTAATAATTTTCTTTTCTTGGCCCCTGAGCTTTGTTCTGTCATTTTTTGAGAGCTTTCATTCAGCTTTTGAGTTCCAATCAGAAGCCAGTCATGTCCACATGGACTTTATTCCTTTCCTACTTTATATGTTTAGCATTTTGGATCTTTCATAGGTTCTTTTCCATCCCCTTTAATATGTTTTTTCTTTTATTACTTTTCACATAAGCTTGAATATCTAAACATGCTCAACAATTTAACTATTACACTGGTTTTATTTATTCTTAGATCTTCCAGTTTTGTGTTTGGTAGAGGCAAAGAGCCCAGAGTTTGTGTTGCTTCCTCTGTGGCCTCTTTTCTTGGCAGCAGGATGAGGAGGGTTGAAGGCATGCCTCTGTTTTTGACTCTCCCCTTCTTAAAGCACCTCTGGAGGCTGCCAGAGCAGAGATGCTGTGGGATATAAGAGATTTCCTAAGGGAAGATAAGGGCTTGTGTTAAAAATTGGGGCTGTGCCCTCCAGTGGAAAGGGGAGAGGATGGAAGGACAAAGAGCCACTCCACTCTTTGAAAGGGAGCTCACCTGGATGAGTTCTTGTGTCTGCTCCACAGGTTATATGGGATCAGAGCCATGGAGAGAAGCAAGACTGGGTTTTTTCCACTCTTGCACACAGAGTTCCCCAAAACTTTACCCACAGAAGCATTTCAGCAGTTACATGGTGAAAACTGCCATTTGTGTCCACTGTTTCTGTAGTGGGGCTCAAGTGTGTTGTTTTTATGGCAAATTTTATTATCTCCTCTTTTCATAGCTCTGAAGAAAGGCAGTGACCTGTCACTGTTGGGTTCATGTGGGGGCACCTGGGGAGGATTTGGTGTGCTGAGTGGTCAGTGAAGAATTGCTGTGTTGAAGGAGTTCTTGGATTCTATGACCTTGTGGTGGAGAAAAAAAAAAACCCAAATTGTGTAAACCAAGTACTTTGGGCTTTCAGCTCTGAGGGATGGATCTTGACCCCTGTTTAATTGCCACATAGATAAATTCTAATCCTGTGGTTATGCTTATTTTAAAAAAGCATCTCTGATACTTTGTTTGCTTCTGGTGGTGATTACCATGTCTTAAGTGTCTGCCAAAATGCATTTAGAGAAACTATGAGTCTTTAAATTTATTAATAAATAAATGTATTTATCTATTTATCAACTGTTTGGAGAATCACAGCTAATGTTTAATGGCAGCTATAGCCTTTTCACATCTTCTGTAAGTGCCTTCAAGAATTATTCCTCTTGAATGGCCATGCAGAGCAATCATGTATCAGATACTTTTAATGACATGAGAAGTGGATAAAAATTATTGGTTTCTGCCTTTTTTTTTTCCAGAAAGACAGACATGACATTACTTCCGGTCATGCACAGTATTTTCTTGCAGTCTGATTTATGCAACAATAGATTAGAGTTTGTAGGAGGTGGACATTTACACCAGCATTAAAATCTTGGTGATGCCCTTAATACCTGGAAGCTGTGACCGCAGGATTTCATCACCAAAACAAGTTTAGTTAATTGGTAATTTCATTACAAAAACAAGTTCAGCTGCTTCCATTGCCACTGTGTCGAGATGTATGTTTGTGCACTCATCCCTTTGTCCATTTGCACATACAGAATTAATTATTCTGGTTTGCTATGGAAACCATTCTTTATCATATAGAAATAAGGGCTAAGCATCGCTGGGATTTTAGAAAAGATGACAGGAAGTGTAAAGAATGCTATAGTTAAACTGTTCCTGAAATTTTGGCACAATTCTTAAACTCAAATTTGAAATGTGACACTGACTGAGATTCTGCTTGATTCTTAGAGATGTTCTGTTAGTTCTTTCATTACCTAAGCAAGCATATTTTTAGTCACTAGCATGTTCTCAAATGTTGATCCTTTTCAAGAAATGTGATGCCTTGCTGTTTCTGTGATCCAATGCCATTCATCTGCCTCTTGCTTTTCCCTGGTGATTTGTACTCTTGCTGTATTACAGAAATGAAGTAAGCATCACCTGTTAATGTAAGATAAGGGGAAGTGATATATTGTAGGCAAAGTTAAGGTTTAAAATTGAAGCAGAGTATGCTTTAGTGTGTTAAAGCATTAGGCTAGAATCTGGAATAGTGTTTAGTTTTACTTCCTAAAAATGTAAGGTAGTGTCTTAGTTCTGGTTAACAAACAGGAAACAGCCTACAAGTATTGCACCTTAGTGTATGGCCAGAATGACTGAGCATTGAGAGATGATTAAAAGAAGAATTATTTACTGTAGAACATGACTCATTATGGTCAGAAAGATGGTCAGAATTTACCAGAGAGGTAATGAAGAAGAAAAGAAAAGAAAAAAAAATGGGGGGATGAGTCAGGTATGCTCTGAATTCAGATCTTTGCACATTTATACATTATGGTTTGCAAGTGGCTGTACCTGGTGGCTGTCCCTCTCAGGCATTTCTTTCACAGGCAGTAAAACTGAAGAGCTGATGCTCTAAGCCAATTCATTTTCCTATTTTTTACAGTTAGAGGCTGAACAGAAAGAATAGTCTGGACAGACTCCATCCCAGTTCCTGACTCATCATCCCAACTCCAGTACAGGATCCAGATATTCTGATAACATGTTTACCTCTGTTATGTTTGCTGATGTACATGGTCAGTGAGTTGCTTAGCTGAGATGAGACACAAGGCAAATTTTCAGCTAAAAGATCAAATAAGAAATGTTGCAGATAATTGTTGGAATTGTGAAGCAGATATTTTGCTGCATGAAAGTTTGTCCCAGTTGTATCGATTGGCCTAACTAAAATAGGTAACTTCCTCCTACAGCCTTGCTTTTTTGAACTGTAAATCATCTCAGTTGTAACAAAACCCCTCTGTTTTGAGGCTTATGTGTGTAAATTCAACATTGTTGCTGGAATATGCTGCATCTCCACAGGAGGGCTCTGCTGGCACAGCTAAAACAGCACATGCTGTGGGATGTTCCTGGGATTTCCGCCTACTCTGTTTCTTTTCCATTTCCCCAGCAGAAAAGCAGGTGCTGGAGCTGCTGGATGCTGCCCTGTGTGTGTTGCAGCAGAGCACTGGGAAAGTGGTTGTTGAGGAGCACTAAACTAGAAAGATGGAAACGCTCCACTGAATGCCAGGCTTGTGCCTCCTTTCCTTAGCAAGAAAAGAGATTCAGGTGTTTCTGGCAAAAATGAGTACATTAAAAAAGGCTTTATTTTCATTTTTACAAGCATATCTTGAAAAAATACCATTGAAATTGGTATTATAATAAATAATAAAAGCTTGATGTTTACCTGTTTTTAATGGGTTGAAAAAATTCCATATCATTGGTACATCTGATGTCCAAGACCAGTTAACATAGGTACAAGAAGTTGAAATCCTGTCTATATGGAAATACTAAAGAGAAAAGGGAAATGTAGGGGAAGAACTTGAAAAGAAGAAAGCATACTCTGCTTATCAGAAAAAACAGGGGGGATTTTTTTTTGTTTTTGTGAGGGCAGGAGGTTGTTTGACTTTTGTTTTGTTTTTCATGTTAGATCCATCTGCCAAGGCCCAGTGCATGCTTTGGAATTAAAATGTCTGGAAACCATTAGTTCCAATATATGCTGTTTATATTGCTGAGATATTATCCTTATATAGCCTAAATCTTGTTGTGTGCATTTTCTGGTAATTTCTACCAGAGTGACTTTGGACACTTCTGTTACAACTCACTTTGCAGGGGGCAAGATCCTTACTGTTTACAGTAAGGATCCTGTATACAGAATCCTAGCCTGTATTTGGTGTTTAAAGAGTCTTGTGGTCCTCTGGCAGTTAATATTTTGTGGTGAGTGAAATCTTGTGTTGGCTATAAGTTGTTGTCCATCTTGCTGTAATATTGGACTTGTCTTTGTAGCAGTTAGCAAAACCTGACATAAATATTTTCTCTTTGGTATAGACAACATTGCTAAGTCGTCTGGAACGAATATTTGAAGTCTGTTTTCCTTCTATTCCTGTTGCTGAAATTGAAGAAGAAATAAGTTCCTTGAATCATTTGCTGGAAGCAGGTGAAAAGCAGATAACAACTGAGGAGACCTTAGGAAGTACTGGGTAAGAAACCACAGTGCAACAAATATAAGATGAACTTGAAACACATATGGCAGTAATTTAAAATGAGGTGTTTGCTTCAAGTATTTTGAGAAGCCATCGAGTGAAAATCAGCTATCTATCAGAATTCTTGTTTTCAGTGACTACATACACCAGGAGTACTTCACTTAGCAACTCAGCAGCCTATCATCTTCTTTTCAATTTTGTCTCTGAATTAACCAAATATGTCTTATTAGTTACACTTGCTATAAATTACTGTATTTATTCATGTAATGATGAAGTCTAAGCAGGCTTTGTCCTGCCTGCCATGGACATCATTTTCCAGTAAGAAGTCTGAACTATAATTGTTCTGAGAACACTGCAGTTTTAGTTCCCCTGGGTATTGTGCTTGGGCATAAATTTAATTGGAATGTATAATAAGTCACTTGCATTAAAAAACAGAATAAATATTCAAGGCTACTAAGCTGTATTTCTGAATGATAACTTGATTTATGATGGGTTGTGCAGGGAACTGATGGACGTGTGGACAGAGCTGCAGGACATACACGATGCATATGGACTGAGATACCAGTGGGGTGGCTCCCACAGCAACAAAAAGCTTCTGTGCTCCCTGGGAATTGACACAAGAAATATTGTGAGTCTGCCAGTAAAACTGGCTTTTTAAATAAGGAATCTGCTTTATATGTAGAATCAGGTGGAGGTGTTCTGTGTGAATGCCTTCTCCTAATTGCATAGTTGCACAGAACATGGTTGTTCATGACAGACCACCTGGCAACCTTTTACAAGCCCTGTGAATGTAAAAAGTTGCATTAGTTTTTAACCATTGTGTTATAATTAACATAGCATTTATTCTGTGATACTAACCTTATTCAAGTTATGTAGCATTGAAAAACATTTCCATCGCTGACATAGAAGAAACTCTTAAGTAAATTCTTTGTTGTTTTATCAGCTCTTTACAGGCAACAAGAAGCAGCCTGTTATAGTACCCATGTATGCAGCAGGACTGGTAAGCTTTTTTTAGTATTATTTTTTTGTTATAATTCTGGCAACATCATATAATGAAATATATTAAATGACATTAAACACCAAGTGTGCTGAAAGATATTTTTGTGAGTACAGTTATGGCTTAGGCATCAGTAGAAATGCTAGAAAAGAATTACCAAATAAATAATTTTCATTATGTGTGCGAGCAAATACTTGATTTTAAGTGAAAGAAGTATTCAGTAAAAACAAGAAGAAGATAAGGGTTGTGATTTTTGCTGGTCTGAGCAGAATAAATGTTCTTTTTTTCTCAAAAAAACAGTGCATGTATATGTATACACACAGGCAAACACACCTATGTTTTCATATGATCATCCACAAATGGAACAGTAAAAAAATACTTTTCTTTGGTTTATATTAGGCTGATCTAATTACGTAGGTTAATTTTATAGAGTGACTTCTACAGTTTTCTGGTGCATCAAGGTCAGCTTGTGTACTTCTTTGGATGTTAACATGGTATTCTGATACAGGTAGTTAAAACAACTCTGAGATACTGCTTTTTTCTTCCTGTTTGTGAGTGGGACTATGTTTGCAACACATGCAGTTATTTTTTGCAGCAGATTGTTGTTGCTGATAATTGTCTCCTAAATTTTTTTATATACTTTTGCATACAATAAGCTGGATAGCAGCAGGAGTAGGAGTAAAGTGGCTTGTTGCTTTCTGTTTCCATATTGCTTTCTGTGTTTCTCAGCTGTCCAAAAGAAATTATTGAACTGGTGGGTAGATTCAAAGCTCCCCTGATAAGGTGTAGAAACATTTGTGGGACAGTTGATCTTGGCAAGTGACTTCCTGAAAATTGTTTAAAATGCTGTAGTTGCAAATCCTGTGCTTTTATTTGGGGGCTCCTCATTGTTCTCGGGTGGTTGGCATGTCTCAGTGCAAACTTCGGGCTTTCTGTAGATCTTCTCACCCTACATTTTTTTCAAGATCAGATTTCAGACATTTTTCATAATACTATCTATATTTTAAATGTTTGCTTAAAATTAAAATATGTGTTTATTTTCTTAATGGTTCTTAATGCATTTATTGCCATCTCAGTAATTATCGTTCTTGGTATCATTCTGAAAATTGATAATTTAGTTTGTTTCTTTTGGATGACTTAATTGTTGAAATGGAATGAATGCAGTTGTACTTTTGTGATGGGTCATTTGATATTTCTGGAATAGTCTACACACAATTGGGAGGAGAAGACATGACCTTATCAAGTAACTGTTTTCTCCAGCTTAAATTACCTTACTGAAAGTTAAAAGCAAGCTCCAGCTTAACATTTGGGTTTTTGTTACTAGCTCTAAAATATTTCTTAGGCCTGAGGACCCATGATGATTTTCCCCTGCTCCATTTACTCCCGCCCCTCTCAACACAGTGAAAGTGTCCCAGAGATACATGGTTACCCCCAAGCCCTTAGCTGAGGGTAGTACTACCTAGTAGTGTGTTCTAGTTTTTGGCATCTGCAGTTCTTGAAGTGTCTGTAAATGTGTGTGTCTGTGTGTGTGCAAGTCATTTTTAAAAATCAGATTATTTATTTATTTGTTTCTTGTTTGTTTATTCAGGGCATGTTAGAACCTACCAAGGAACCATTGAAACCAATATCTGCAGCAGAAAAAATAGCTTCAATAGGACAGACACCTCCTGTATCACCAGAGATGAGCACATGTGCATCTGATCAGTTCCAGGTAAAAAAATAGGGAGAGAAGGGAGAGGAGATGCAAAGAAAGAATGAGGGAAATAATGGGATGCACTGTCTCTTTCTTTATGTTTAAAATATCTGGATGGTGTATTCAAAGACACCTATATGTAAAAGGCAGGTGTTGGTTGTGTCAGATTGAAGTCCTGCTCTTGGATCTGCTTTTCATGTGTGACTGGGAGTCCCTGTGATGAGGCTGTAGCAGTTGGTGGCCACCATTTCAGAGTCCTGATGATCCTTACTGTTACACAGCAGTTTGCTCTCAAAGGCAGTGGGCAGGTAGACAGATTTTATATGTAATGTTAGGCTCATCCGACCTCTGGCTAGGGCTCTTCATCTTTGCTTATTCTGGAGCTCATTGTTGGAGGTTGTTCTACATGTTGGTTAGCACTCAGTTTTCTGAATGATCCTATTTACATTTATACTGTTCATGTTTATTTCCTTTTGCCCTTTCTTACTTCTTCAGGGTGTCATGCAAAGCAGCCCAGCTGCCTCCAGAGAGATTGTTGGTGTGGTCATTACAAGCATACATGTCTGACTTTTTGATTGTATGAATTCTCTTGGCCCTTTGTGCCAGATTTATTGAATTATCTGTTACACACAGTTGCTTTGCTGGCTTCTCTGTCTTTAAAGTCTGATACAAAATGAATTCAGAGGAGTTTAGGAGTGAGCTTTTGAATTTCCTGAGTTCTTTGTTGCTGTTGTTTTGATGTAAGGATATTAGAAGAGCACTTGAATGCTATGCGTGTTTCAATGTGTGTGGTTGTCAACAAGCTAATGGGATATGCAGAGATATTTCATTTTCAGTGTCATTACAGTGATGCTCAGTACATATTCAGAGACTCAGCTGTGTCCCTCCTTAGTGCAGATCTTGTTTAATCCACCTAACATCTTCAGTTACCTGCTATGCTCGTGACTTCTGATTGAAGGCATTCCAGAAAGGATTATTCTTGGGCTACACTTAACCTTAACACTAGGTACTTGTGACTATAGTGATGTTCTTGCAGTCCTTGTTCTGCCACATTGCAGAGCTCTAAGTGTGACATGCTTGTAGCAGAGGAGAATTCTTTTTCATTATTGAGCAGCAGTTTGTCAGTGGGCTCAGAGCTCACGTTGTTTTATACAGCAATACACATTTGGTGCTTCCTGTGCTGCTCCTCATATGCAGTGGAGCTGAAGTGGATATAAGAAAAGGTAACAACAGTGATTACTGCAAGCAGTCTGATCTGAAGAAATCTACTGTGTGGTAAGAAAGTAGGAACATTTCACAGTCTTTTTGCAGCATTCAAAGTACCCTTTTTTACAGAGGAGGAAACATAAATTAAGCCATACACTAAACAGTGTAGAGAGCTGTGAGAGTCTGAAGTAACAGCATCTTTGACAAGTGCCGTTTTCTCAGTTGCTTGACAGTCATAGTGCTGAAAATAAGAACCTCTACTTACCAAAGTCTCTCTTTTTCTGTAATTATGAATTCCTGCTACAGAATATCCCATTACTTGTCACAGTGTGATAATCTTGACCTACAGCTTTTTCTGATAAGGCTGTCTCTGTTCAATAGTTGTGGTCCAAGAATACATCTGAGAAGCTTGTGTGCTGTCTGTCTGCACTGTTGGCATTAGGCTAGCTTTTTCAAAAAGACAAACACTAAAATAAGCTTTTGGGGAAGAAATGGGTTAGAGATTGTAACGATTCAGAATTCTAGGAGGCTACAGTAAGATGATATTCTGCAAGTTTTAGGGCATGAACAATCAATTCTCCACCTCAGAGACCGCCTTTCTTTCTTGGTCTCATCTTCTGTCAATGATTGATGGCTTCTGTTTGCTTTGGGGAAAATCCAGTTTCACATCACATTGTACAAATGGCTCTTTCAGAATATTCCAGATTTTTGTGGTGATAAGATGATGTGCCCAAACATTTCATTAGGACCTATGCTAGAAACATTGTTAAACTATTCAGTAGAAATACAGGCAGTTTTAGTGGACTCTGAAACTTCTTATTCTAAAATTATTCTTAGTCTGAAACTTCTTATTCTAAGTGCAAGTTATTTAGGTGCAGCAATTCAAGTATCTCTTTAGTGTACCTGGTTAATGTGTAATTATTTAGTTAAACTTCTAAATTCCTCCATTTTCAGAATGAAGATTTATCCGTATTTTCACAAACTTCAGAATATTGACATTGTCTTTGGAAGGAGAGGCTCTGGTTGATAGATTCATGTTCTTTGCTCAGGGAAAAGTTCTCCTCTGAGGGCTGGCATTTATGGCACTTGTATACAGATCAGTGTCTGTGCATATGACTTCCTGCTAAGGGAATAAGACTTTGGAAGACTGATGAGGTGAAAGTAATACTGGAAAGAACACTTGTAGAAACACAGGAATGCCTCCTAAATGTTTTGTCTGTTTGTTGTAGGCAAACAGACAAAACCATGCAGAGATTTAAAATGGAGAACTTTAGAACTAATAGAATGAGGTAAAAAACAGCAAATGAGCTGCAGTGTTTCTTCCTAGTTATGACATAAACTCTGAATGTTTTGCCTTCATTCCTTCCAGTGGGTCTCACTGAGTTAGGCTGAGGAAATAGGGTGGACAAATTTCCATCTGAGCCATTTAAGCTATAAGGACAAGGGTTTTGAAATTGAGTTCTCAAGCAAGTCACTGGATTGTCGCATTAGTTTATTGTATAAAGATGATTTTTGTAGAGTCATTCTCTTTTATATTTGAAGGTAGAATCTAAATTCTTCTTTGATCTGTTGTTTATCTTGACAATTGAGGGGTTTATTTCTCTGTTCCTCTGTGCTCATAACTGTAAGGCAGTAAACAGAATATGAAATAATCCCCTGATTACTGTTGCCTTGATCTAAGCATGGTGTCTCAAAGACTTCACAAGGCTGAAGTAAAAGGCTTTGTCAAGGGACATCAGGTGTAAGGAGTGGCTGGTGAAATAGGCACCCTTTGATTGTGAGACCCAAGACAGGTGCCTTTCTCTTCTTTTTTGTGCAGCTCTAGTGGGCTTCTAAATTGCAGCCAAGTCTTCAGGCAGTGCATGCAAATTACATTCCAGTGTTTGTCTAAAGGGTTGCTGTCTGGACTTAATGATGACTGCTTTCTCTTGGTTTGATACTGTTTTCTGGTTAATGTTGTTTTAAAGTTTATTTATCTGCTTCTCTTTGGATATTTTGAAGAAAGTTGTCCAGATATTTCTGCTCTTCTGCTATTGCTTCAAAGCATTCTCTTCTCTCCGTTTGGGACTATGCTTCTTTTGTAGGGTTACCTGTCAAGTTTTACTTAGTAAGTTTTATATTGGAATAAAAATCTGCAGTGACCCAGACCTTTGTAGAAGAAAATTACCAGTGCTTATTTTCTGCAGGTGCCCATTACAGCACATCTGCTTGCATGTAAGCAACTGAATTAGGGATCAGGTTATAACAGAAATATACATCTTACACTTGGTGGCTATTAGGGACTGAACCTTAATTAAACCCCATGGGGTGACAGTCTCTAAAAACACTTTTAATTACATAAGAGACCATCAGGACTTCTAACAATGACAGATGCAAACTACCATATTATTGGCCACCATCCAAAGGCTCCATCAGGAACTGCTCTCCAGTTATATGTGTGAGAAAGATCCAAGAGTGTGAGAGTGTGTGTGGCTTTGTTCACAGAGTAAGGAAGAAAGATTTGCAGGTAAGAGATGCTACAGAACTTGGTGTTCTCTCAGATGTGACAGCTGTGTAAAGGGGTTGTCTGAAAAGAGCAGTTTTCAGAACTGATAAAATTTTGCCAATGAATACACACAATGAAATGTATGAATTACTTGCATGTAAAGCTTTTTCTGGAATGTGTATGATGCTCATTTTTGGGATCCATCTGAATATTGACATTATATTTGTATTACAAGTCCTTTTATTCTTTTTGCCCAACTTTAAGACAGAAAAATGCTTCTTTTTTATTTATTTTGTTTAATTTTCCTTGAGTAATTATTGGCACAGACACAAACATTTACATTTTACTCTTTTGGATTATGAGAGCTCTTACATAATACATTCTAAAATTACTGTGTGAAAACATCTCTCACTTGCATCAAAGTGAAATATGATGCAGTAAAACAGGCAGGCATTTTAATTTCCTCTTTCTTACTTCCTTAACATTCAGAGTAGTATTCTGACAGCTGAGTATACTTTTTCATTTCTGTACTGTGTCCTGTAATCTAAGATGGAGGCCTTGAGGAGTGAAAGCAATGTGCTCCATTTCTCAATATTCTCATAGATTAGGCACTTTTCCTTAAAGCATGTTACTAAAATAATAATTGCAGTAACCTAACAACCTCACAGTTTCAGAAAGGCTGAACATTATATTCCCGTTTGCTGGGTATGTTCCCACTGGCTGAGGTTTCAGTGCCTGTGTTCAGGTGTTTCTTAGGGCTGAGGTAGCAAGAAACAGGAAACTTTCTGTTTAATTTTGCTTTTTCCTCTGCCTTTTCCTTTCACTTGGTTTGCTACTGTATAGACTGGTACTTGCCAGCATCTGTATAGGTGAGGGCTGCTTTACTTACCCTCTCTTTTGCAAAGTACTTGAAGTCAGCAGGGTGGCCTCATTCCACAGAGCAGACTAATATATTTGGTGTATTCTTATTGATTTGGAGTCAGACTCATTTTTTCCCATTTTAGGAAGAATTCATCACATCCTGTGTCCTTTCCTTGTCAAATCTGAGAGTCAGGCCATCATTAAAGGCAAACACTTGGCAAACCATTGCTGCCACTTTTTCCATGCAGCTCTGTCAGTCATTAGTCCTAACTCAGGCCTTTGACACAAAATCTACTGGGTGTTTTCCTCAGCAAGAGTTGGTAGGAAGCCACTTTATTTCAATTTGAGTTCATTTTGCTCAGGGCAGAAAGCTGCTAAATTGTTATACTCACTACCCTTCTCTTTTCCTACAAACTCCTTTTAATGTTAATATATTTTACATGTGACAAAGTTTAAACAAGCTACTGATAATGGTGATCATTACTTCATCAGGTGGAGCTTCCACACTGCTGCCATTATATCTATGTGCAAATCATTCAATAATACCATTCCCAAGGCAAAGTTAAAAGTGAAGAATCAGTTTATTAACCTCCATGGAGAGAATACTGTTCAAGCTGTGCTCAGTACTGAAAGTATTTTTAAGACATTAGAAAGTAAATGTCTTGCTTAGAAAGATCTTTCCTATAAATAAATACAGAAGTCTCCAGCTCCCTTTGTTTTGCTTCCTGCAAACATCTAGCACTGAGGAAATTTGCAGTGAGCTTAATTGTGCTACAAAGCTATCTCAGGTTGCTACAGTCTTGATTAGTGAATTGCATTTTTCTTCAGTGTCAGATGGTTGGAATCTTTAAAATTAAAAATGAAAGCTGATTTTCTACAAAAGCAAAGAGAAGGTATGGCTCAGCCACTGGAAGCTTAACAAGTACTGATGTGTTTTAAAGAATATTGCTGAGAAAATCCATTGTTTTTCTTCCATACTGTGATTGTTTCTTTAGAAGTTGAGGGCACATCCTTTCCCAGTGCCTCATGACAGTTGACTTCACTGGGGAGAGAGCAGAGTGTAATGCACAGAAGTAGAAAGGTTCAGCTTCTTTCAGACATTTCTGCTACTGTCCCATCAGTTTGTGTCCTGGGAGTACAGGAAGACAGTGCTTGCAACTCACACTGCCCCTGTAGAGCATGGCCCCTGCTGCTTGCTTGTGTCCAAAAGGCTTAACAAGAGGAAATCAAAAGGCAAGGATGGCCTCCCAGGAGGAGTCAGTGTTTCCATACTCCTCTTGTTCAAGCATTGCTGCCAATGGTTTGTATATAGATCAGGATGAATTAACTGTGAAAGGATAATAACTCACAGGACTTTAATTTTTAAAGGGGGTGGAGTGGAAAGGGTGTTGATACTTTGTCCCTCATGTGTGGAGATTGTGTTTCTTAAGAGCAAAACAAACCAAAAGAATGATTGGTTGTTTGATGATAAATAATATATATGATCAAGACAAAGAATGGATGCACAGACAGCTTTCACTGTTCTGAATTTGCCCTGTAATTGTGTATACATAACTATTTATGCTAAGTGCCTCATCTTCCATGAATGTAATAGTTTAATTTTCAATGATGCCTTAAGGTTTGTTATTCAATTCATGTTTTAGTTAATTTGCAAATCCTGTTTGAGTTAGAAGTTACCTAATCTGTGCTGATCAGAATTTGATGGACTTCCTGTGGTAGAAGAAATCTACTTTGAATCTCTAGTGCATATTATGAAAAGACACACCTCCCAAAAGTTGGGGCTTGATCATTTAGTTGTCTTTTTTAGTGTTTAGACGCTAAAGAATCTGTTGTTTGAACTGCTTTGCATTGTTGTAACCTGAACTGACTATAAAATCTGATTTCTGACTTTTCAACTCTAGGAATCTCTACCACCTGTCCAGTTTGACTGGAGTAGCAGTGGCCTTACTAACCCTTTAGATGGTACGTCTCTCCGTAGAGCCTCTAGCACCAGAGCTAGAGATAAGAAAGCTACAAAGTTCAGACAAACATCTATCTGCTGATTATTTTTTTAAGATATATACACACACACATATATAAAAATATATATAATACTTATTTCTTACTCCTAACTTTGGAAATTCAGGCTTTCTTTCTGATTTACAGTTCCCCTATGTGAAGTATTACATAGCTTGAAAAATACAAGTTAAGTATTATTTTAGATTCCTGCCATATGCTAGTGACACAGTGGCAATATTAACACTTCATTACGTATAACTGCAGATTATAATGAAACTCTGAACAAATGAGCATTTTAGGTTGATGAGTTTTACTTCCTAAAAGTATTTTTCACCAGTCAGCTATCTCTTTAGACATCCTCTGAATGACAAACTTCTGTAAAGTGGCTACTTCAAAGCACAATATTTTAACCACAAACTGTTTGCAAAATATACACTTCCTGAGCTGAAAGTTTTCAGATTTAAAGATAATTTTATATTTCAAAAATGTGACTTCATTCATTATCACTTTTGCTTACACTAAAGAGCTGATTATAGCTATTATATTAAAGAGGTAGCTACGAACTTATTAATAGCTGTAAATGTATATAGTTATCACCTAAAAAACCCTTCACCTGTGTCTATTTTAATAGCAAAGTGAGTTGTGCCACTGCCTCTAGTGTCAGAAATGTAAGTGCATGCAAAGGAAATAAAACAAGTTCTAGAAACTTGTTTTACTGACAGAATAGAAACCTATTAAGAAACTCCTTTACAAGGAGCCTTCTGACAGCAACTGATTGATTACACACAAGTTCAAAGGCAGGCTCAGATAAAGTGCATCTCTTACTGCACTGGTGTTGCCACACTGTGTTGTTGCAGAATGTGTGGTGTGTAAGAGTTTGGATAGCAATATCATGGTGCTGAAGGAAAGCCTGGATGGACCCTTTTGCTGTTGTCTGGTGTCTTACTACTTCAGTCAATCATCATGCTTTCTTTTAACAAACAACTTTAAAATGTATCTTGGTTTGATTTCTGTTTTAGTGCTAAAGGGGAACAGTATAATTTGCCAGTGAGGAACTGGACATAAGAGCGGCCTTTGTTACCCAGTGGTCACACTGCTTTAAGATAATGATAGCTAATAGCTTAATAATAGCTATTAGCTATTATTAAAAAGCTAGATAATTAATAGCTTAAAGCCGCTAAATAAAATTTTGAATTTTTTTTTCTTTTTGTTCTTTGCTATTTGAGGAGCTGCTAAGTTTTCCTGATGAAAGAATGGCTTTCAATTTCAGTGAGGGGAGAAAAAGCCCATTATATTTTAACTGTCAATTGACTTATATATTGTTTCCCTTTAACTGGTCACATCTCTCTCTTTGGGTCGTGCTGGTTCTCTTTCATTTTTAGATTGAAATAAATATTCTATTTTAAAGTTACTAGTGTTGATTTCCTTGCTGCATTGTACATGAGGAAATGTGCATTGAATTAAGTTGTTAACATTTTAGAAGGTACAAACTAATACTGTAAGCATTGTTTTCATGTCGATTTTTAAATTGCGTACTGAGTACTAATTATAACTTGCATGTTCAAGTGTGTGTCTTACCCCTTTTTACACATAAACCCCTCCCTTGGCTTACCTTCTATATGGCTGCCTACCAACACGGTCACTGAATTTCAAGCTAGTGGAGGTTCCACTCTTCTGAACCTTGATTTCTTTGGGCCCGTGGATGACAGTAGCTCTAGCAGCACCACCACAATCCCAGGTCAGCAGAGTGTTCAAACCACAACTGTTACGAATATAACGACTTACTAAAAGCATGAGCACATCACTTGACTTTCCTACAAACAAGGAGAAGTTTTACATTGCATTTCTCTAAAATGTCTCTCTACTGCGTTTTTCCTTTAATCTGTGTTCTGTTTTCTGATGTTTTGTATCGAGTACAAGTATTTAAAAGGTACTGTCAGCTCTGTATTTGTCACCTGCTGAAGGAATGAATGGCTTTTATGCTCTTGCAAATAAGATGTTAAAACACTTGTTTCAAATGAGAAATTCCAGAAGTTAACTCTTCTAAGCACTTAAGGAAATTTGAAAAATGGTGTTGATGTGGCAATTCCTAAAAGATGAGGCTTGCTCTCTTCTCTGAGTGCCTCTAAATTACAGGATTATGACGATGTTTGGAAGCCATGTATGAATATAAATTTATCAACCTTGATACATGACAGCTCAGGAGGTCATGGGCTACTACCAATAATACAGTGAAAAAGGTGTTTTAACAGCCTTTGTAATAGAAAAGAAGGATAGTTGCATGTTTGTGGGGTATTAGAAGTTCATGAATGTTAATTTTGAACCCAAAGCATTTTAACTGCAATTTACTCCCTTAAAAAGGAGATGAAAACACCACTCTCTCCATGAATAACGTGTGAAAGTAATTTAATTCATTTTTCACGTGGTTTTTACATGCTCTGAGTATTTTGCACTAGCTTGTGAAAACCTACACTTTGAATAAATTCCTGCAGGAATTTCAGGGAACACTTTGGGGATTTGTTCCAGTGCATAGGTTAAATTGATAATGCAAGTACTCCTTCAATACAATGCCTGAAGCCATGATAATCAATTTCTTCACAGGAAAGATATTTTTCCTCTTAGTGATTTTAATTTTTAGAACCCATTCATAAGATGTTTGGGGTCCTCCCATATTTCAAACAAATTATTATAATTATTATGGTATTTTTTCTTTTTAGAAACACACTTTTTTAGTTTTAAAATCTAATCACTGGAAGCAATTTTATGGCATGGCAATCTAAATGACTTTTTATTCCACCCTTGAGAAATACCATTATCAGATGAAAGAGGGCAGATTTGTCATGGAAGTGACAGCTAGCAAAGGCAAGGTGCTTGAGTCCTACAGATTCTTTTGTAAGTGTGTGCCAAGTCCATTGACACAAGTCACCAGTGCCCATTGCACCTATTATTGCTTGTGTAGTTGGGTACATGCATTATTGCTTGTGCAGAAGGAGTGCACACTGGAAGGTGTTACTGGAGGAATACTCTGTTAGTCTTTTATTGCATTTTATTTTTTATGTTGTTGTTTCATCAAGTTACAGGTATCACCTTCTATGGTATGCCCTATAGTGCCTTTTTTTTTTGTTCCCTTCATTTCTTTTGGTTTGGCTTTGGGTTTTTTTTCTTACTGACTTGTTTCTGGGAAAGTCATTTGTTTCATGGCTTGCAGCTCGTGTGTTTGTGTGTGTGTTTAGGAGCTTTGTGTGGGGTTTGGTTGGCTAACTTTCCTTCAATATCTCATTAAGGTTTTGCAGTGGTTTCCTTAAATACTCTCTCATCATCTGAATAAAATGGAGAATATGCAACTCTTAAAAAATACATAAAATAATTGAAAGACAAATTGCTAGATTTTTTTTTTTTTCTTAAGGAAGATACTTTTTTCAGTAGAAGTTTATTCTTTCTTTGGAGATTTAGTTTTACTTGCTATAGATTGACATGGAATTCTTCTCAGTCTGATTTCATCAGTACTCAAAATAACTTTTTAATAAAAATTTTCATTCCAAGTTATGAATAGGGAGTTACTCATTTCTCGTATTTTCCCACAGATTTAGTGTATTGTTCTATTTTTCATGTTAATAGTTTAATATAAATGCAGCTGAGTAAGAGGTGCCTAAAGAGCAGTAAATTGAGCAGTGACATCCCAAGACAGGACTGTAAATGGGAATATCTAAATGATGTAACTTACAAGGTTGCATTTAATGTTTGTTGCAGAGTTGCATGTCAAAGGGCTCCTTCCTTCAATTAGCTTTCCAATTTGTACCTTAATGGGATCTCGCAGGCTTCTGCAAGTCAAAGTGTATTTCTTCAAGGCTTCCTCTCCCTGATTGAAAGTGGATATTTTATGGAATATTCAGGCTTTTTCCTGTTTCTACGTTCTGTAAACATCTGACATTTCTAGAAGTCTTGGTATACCGGTCTCAGGACAGTACATATTTTGATATTTTGCATGGAACTGGATCAAATCAATTGCGAAAATCCAGACTTAAAAAAACATGTATGTTAAAAGGACAGCTGATTAATTTCTAATCAACTCATACTATGTGGAACAAATCTTCCACGTCCTGCAACTTAACCAGATTATTTTCTTTATTTCACATTTTGGTCAGCCAAGTTTCCTCACAATAAAAGAAGAATTACCATGTCCCAAAAGGATAAATGGTCAAGACACTGCTTGTAGAGAGCTCATGCAAAGCAGGTTTGGGGATGATTAACATCATCTCTTAGCACACACAGTGCTGCAGTTACTGCTGGTAAAGGCAGGACAGTAGGCACTGGCATTTATTTCTGGTAATCGTTTGGTGTTTCAGGAATACTTCTAAAAGCATCTTGATCCTGAGAAGTAAACTGGATACAATCATCAGCAAACATTAGTAAATGCTGGTTTTGTATCGGGAAGCTGCATGGGAGCACCAGGTCCCAGTATTTGCAGTGTTTGTTCTGCAGTAGGATGAAATGCTTTTGTGTTGTCCACATCAACAGGCACAAGTGTGACACCTGTTTAGCTCAGAGGTGTCTCTGAATAAACACAGTGCTTATGAACAAAAATTCTGTGCTGCCTTTGAAAACACCTTGTGAATGGCACATATGTACGCTTCATGAAACCTGTGAAGCATAAAATATCTGAAACTGTAGCTAGGGAAGTATCAGCAATTTCAAATGTAACAAAACTTGCTGTAACACTCTTTCCTCTTGATTTATTTTGGTAATTCTAATTCCTAGAAGTTTTTTTAAGAAACAGTATGTAATATTTAAAAATCCTAGAGCTGCTTCCTACTGAGATGTGATGCTTGATACTAAACAGATAAATTTAGCTCATACATATGTATTTTTTGCATATAGCTTTCCATTGTTTGCAGTGTTTTCAGAATGACCTCTGCTGCTAAAATTTGAAATCCATTTTCAACAAAAGTGATATCAAAATTCAGCATCTGACCTCAGATAACTGAAGCTAGAAATTCAAGGCTGAAACATTCAGATTCTTAATGCCATTAGAAATACTTATGAATACTTGAAAGTTGAAAAGGGAGCATAGACTAAAATTTTTGGTGGTTCTGTGCATATTAGTATGTAACTTTTTTTTAATGCCATTCCACTTCTGTTTCATAAAAGCTTCTTTTCCTCACTTAAAATTTTAACACAACCCCTAGTGAAAAGCCAGATACTAAATGCACTCTATTGCATGCCAGTGTTGTTTGTAATCTCTAGGTGAAGAGTTGGTCCCTGTTAACATGCAGTGTTCTTTTAATACAGGCAGTTGAGTTGAAATAATTGAAACAATCCATTTTTGACACAGCTGACATTTTTATAGAGGTTTCACTCTGAAAAGTCAATCAGACTGTGTTTTATTTTTACTCACAGACTGAGACCTTGTATGCCAGACTTGATCCAAGGCATGTGTTTTCTACTACAGCTAAAAAAGCTGCTGAAAAATGATGGGGAGAGAGGATGATGCTTCAGAAACACAAACATGTTCTGTCATGTTCTTTTCATGTATCTTCAAATTATAAATGATTCAGATGTTTACAGAAAGCAGTTTCTAGCAAGTTGGTCTGTGACTAATTATGACTTTACTTGCCTCCAACCATCACTGATTATTGTTTTATACTATAAGGTGTGGATCCTGAGTTGTATGAATTGACAACCTCAAAACTGGAAACTTCCAATGCAAGCAGCAGAGTGACTGATGCTTTTGCACGGCTCATGTCCACAGTGGAGAAGGCAAGCACGTCCACAAGGTAAATGCTCTTCATTGCACATTATTCTTCTGTTTCCCTTCTGTAAGGGTGGTGTGAAATGTGAGGTGTGAATTTGTGTGCAGTTTTAGGGGAGAAGTTCTTGAATGATCAAAAGGCTTTAGATTTTAAATCTGAAGTTCATTGTACTGTAGTTCTTATTTCAAATTATCTCAGAAGTCTAAAATGAGATGGGTAAGAGTTTATGAGCTGAAGGAAAAAGATCACCAGGACTTATGCTGAAAAGGTAGAGCCAATGACTGAACTGTAGGAAGCAACTTTCTGAACATCAGGGCTGAGAGTGGCTCCTGACAGTGGCTCCTGACAGTGGCAGGGTAAACTGAATCAGCTCAGTGACCTAGGGCTGAGGCAGGAGACTCTCCTTTGTCTCTGTGTAATTTATAAATACAGAATGTTGCACAAGTAAAATGATAACAGACTAATAATTATGACTATATTTGTCCCTTGGCAAATATTCCTAACACCTGTCAAAACTTCAGTGAGCAAACACATCAGTTTAATTTTGCTGTTGCACGTTAAGAATTGAATGTGTAGTTGGTTTAGGATGTCACTTCTGCCTCAGTGGAGCACACATAAAGTAGTTTTGTGCTTTTTTTTTATAGGCAGCATCTGTAGAAAG